TACTCTTTACCTTTCTTTCTATTTCCAGAGGAAAACATTAGCTAAACTTTGGCGTAAGTTTTTGTCATGATTGTTTTTATGGTTTTCTGTATGTGTGTGTGTGTAGTGTGTGTGTGTGTGTATGTGTGTGTGTGTGTGTGTATATATATATATGTATGCATGTATCTAAATATCTCTAGTATTACTTTTTAAAAATTACTTCTGTTTTTATATACCAGCAAAGATGGTTTTACACAATAATTTAAAAAAAATTTATATTTGTATTTATTTTATTTTTATTGATACATAGTACACTACATATTTGCGGGGTACATGTGATATATGGTGATGCACTTAGAATGTGTAATGATTGAGTCAGGGTATTTGTGGTTTCCATCACTTTGAGTATTTATTATTTCCATATTTTGGGAACAATCTAAGTCTTCTAGCTACTCTGAAATATACAATACATTGTTTTTTACTGTAGCCACTCTACGTTGCTGACTAATAGAACTTACACCTTTTATCTAACTGTATATTTGTGCTCATTAACCTGCATCTCTTCACCACTCTTCCTAGCCCGCAGCATCTATCATGATACCCCCACCTTTATAAGATCAACTTTTTAGCTTCCATATATGAGTGTGAAGGTGTGATATTTCCTGTGCCTAGGTTATTTCACTTAATATTCTCCAGTTCTATCCATGTTGCTGTAAATGACATGATTTTACTGTTTTTATGGGTAAATACTATTCCATTGTGTAATATACCACATTTTCTTTATTCATTCATCCATTTGTGGACAGGTAGGTTTTCTACAGTTAATAGAAATTCACAATAGAAAATGTTGCTGTGATAAACCTGAGAGACACTAGGAAGAATTTTAACATATTGACCATATTCAGCAATCTTTTACAATGTGGTGTACAGACTGTAAAATAGCTCATAATTGTCCCTGCCTTCTGGTACTCATGTCCGTGTGTAACCCCCCTTGTCTGTGGATGAAACCTGTGACTTAACTGTAACAGATAGAATTTGGCAAATGTGATATGTTAAGATTATAGTGTCTGCTATGCTAGGAGATTCTCTCACTTGCTGGTTTCAATGAAGTAAGTGGTCATGTTGGGGAGGCCCATTTGGTAAGCAACTAAGAGTGGCTTTAGACCAATAACCAGCTGAGAACTGAGGGTAGCCTCTCATCATCATCAGCAAGAAATGGGGTTCTCATATCTACAACCACAAGGAACTGAATTCTGCTAACAACCACAGGAGATTGGAAGCATGTTCTTCTCCCATTAAACATTCAGAAGAGTCTGCAGCCATGGCTAACACTTTGATAACTGCCTCATGAAAAATTCTGAAGCAGAGAACCAACCTAAGTAATGACTGTATTTCTGACTCAGAGAAACTGTGAGACTATAAATGTGTGTTGTTTTAAGCCTCTAAATTTACTATGCAGCAATAGATAAATAGCATACTAAATTAGTCAATACTAATACTTTATCTGTAGATGTTTTAGGGTTTTCTGCATATAAGATAATATCTGTGAGCAGAGATGATTTTACTTCCCTTGGAATTCAAGTGCTTTTACCTTTTCACTTTCTTTTTTATTTTGACCTACTTGCTCTGGTTAGGACATTCAGTAATACGTTGAATAGAAGTGGTAAAAGTGGATAATCTTGTCTTGTACCTGATCTTCGAGGAAAAGTTATCAGTCTTTCACTGCTGAACGTGATGTTAACTATGGACTTTTTATACATGGATTTACTATGTTGAAGTCATTTCTTCTACTACTGTTTTTTTTAAGTGTTTTTTATCATGAAAAGGTATTGAATTTTGTTAAATGCCTTTTCTGTATCAATTGAGACGACCAATTTGACTTAATCAGACTTCTTCAGAGAAACTGAAGCAACATAAAAAAAACAAAACAAAAGCAAACAAAACAAAACAAAAAACCGAAGGAAATTTGTTATGGGAGTTGGCTCGCATGATTTTGGAGGCCGAGAAGTCTCTCTGTCTGCCATCTGCCAACTGTAAAGCCAGGAAAGCTGGTGGTGTGATCCAAAGGCCTGAGAACTGGTAGAGCCAGTGGTGGAACTCCCAGTCTGAATCCAAAGTCCTGGGAACTGGGAGAGTTGTTGGTGTTAAGTCCCAGAATCCAAATGTCTGGAAACCAGGAGCTCAGATATCTGAGAGCTGGAGAAGATGGATACTCCAGCTCAAGAAGAGAGAATTTCTTCTTCTTCTGACTTTTTGTTCTATTCGGGCCCTCAATGGATTGGATGGTGATTCAAATACCAATCTAAAATGTGTTTGTATCTTCATTTGTCTCAAGATTTCCTCTTATTATTATTTTTATTTTTTTATTTTTTGAGATGGAGTCTCTCTCTGTCACCCAGGCTGGAGTGCAGTGGTGCAATCTCTGCCTGCCAGGTTCAAGTGATTCTCCTACCTCAGCCTTCTGAGTAGCTGGGACTACAGGTGCACATCACCACATCTGGCTAATTTTTCTATTTTTAGTAGAGACAGGACTTCTCCACATTGGCCAAGCTGTTCTCGGACTCATGACCTCAAGTGATCCACCCGCCTCGGCTTGCCAAAGTGCTGGGTTTACAGGTGTGAACCATCACACCTGGCCTCAAGATATTTTTTAATTTCCCTTTTTATTTCTTTTTGATCCACTGCTTATTCCAGAGGGTGTTGTTTAATTCTCACATCCTTGTTAGTTTTCTAGATTTTCTGCTACTGATTTCTAGTTTCATTAGAAGGTTGAGAGGAAAGACACTTGGTATGGTTTCAATCTTCTTAGATTCGTTAAGGCTTGTTTTTTGGCCGGGCGCGGTGGCTCATGCCTGTAATCTCAGCACTTTGGGAGGCCGAGGCGGGCAGATCACGAGGTCAAGAGATTGAGACCATCCTGGCCAACACGGTGAAACCCTGTCTTTATTAAAAATACAAAAAAATTAGCCAAGCGTGGTGGAGCGTGCCTGTAGTCCCAGCTACTCGGGAGGCTGATGCAGGAGAATTGCTAGAACCCGGGAGGTGGAGGTTGCAGTGAGCTGAGGTTGCGCCACTGCACTCCAGCCTGGTGACAGAGAGAGACTCTGTCTCAAAAAAAAAAAAAGAGACTCTTTCTAAAAAAAAAAAAAAAAAAAAGAAGACTTGTTTTTTGACCTAACATGTAATCTATCCTGGAGAATGCTCCTATAACACACTTGAGAAGAACGTGTATTTTGCTGTTGCTGGATGGAATGCTCTGTATATGCCCATTAGGTCCATTGGATCTATACTGTTGTTCAAGTTCTCTGTTTCCTATTGATCTTCTGTTTGGATGTTTTATAATGGATAAAATATTGAAAGTGGGTTATTGAAATTTCCTTCTCTTGTTGTGTTGCTATTTATCCCTTCAAGTCTTTCAGTGTTTGCTTTATTTATTTAGATGCTCTAATGTTGGATGAATATATATTTATAATTGTTATATCTTTCCGGTGAGTTGACTCTTTTATTTTTACATGATGTCCTTCATAGCCTCTTATGACAGGTTTTGATTTAATGTCTATTTTGTGTGGGTTAAGGACAGACATCCCTGCTCTCTTGAGGTTGCCATTTGCAAAAGCACCTTTATTATCACTTGATTTTCATCTTATGTGTGTCCTTAAGTTTAAGTGAGTTCTTGGAGACAGCATATTATTGTATTTCATAATGACATGCTTTGACTCAGTATTATCCTTCTTTCTTTGATTTGCTAATATTTTGCAGATGATCCTTTCATCTATATTTGTGAAAGAGATTCACCTGTAATTTTTCTTTCTTATAACACCATTAACAGGTTTTGGTATCTAAGTTATTCTCTGGAAGAACATGTGTAAGATTGTGTATTATTTATTCTTTAAATTTTGTTAGAATTTAGCAGTTAGACTCTGATCCTTGAGTTTTTTTGGGGCAATTCTTAAATTAATTATGAATTTAGTTTTAATTTTAAAATTATGAATTTTAGCTATGAGAGAGTCAAATGTTGTATTTATTTTTATGTCAGCTTTGGTACATTGCATTTTTCTTGAAATTTGTCCACTTATTCTCAAATTTATTTTTACAAAGTTGTTTATATTGGGATCATTTTATCATTTATTGCATCTGTACTGACATTTTCTCTTCTGTTTTCTTTTTAGGACATTTCTTCCCTTTTTTCCCTTTATCGGTGTCAGCAGTGTTTTACAAATTTTGTTACTCCTTTTGAAAAGTAGGTTTTGGTTTTGTTAATCTTCTCTATTGTATACTTAATACTTCTGTTCATTAATTCTTGCTTTTATTTTTATTATTTAATTTTTTCTGCATTCTTTGGGTTTAATTGGTATTTTTTTCTGACTTTTCAAATGGAATTTATATAATTAATTTTCTGCCTTGCTTCATTTCTAACACATATGTTTAAACATATATGATTTTATGGCATTTTATCTTCACTCCATAAGTTTTAACAAGAATATTTTATCATTTAATTAAGTTTCATTATGATTTCTTATTTGAATAATGTATTATTTCAAAGTATATATTTTATTTTCTAATGTATGAGGGAATCTACTAATTATCTTCTTTTTAAAAAACTTTTTGGCTTATACTGTTGTTCAATACTATGGTACTTTGAAATGTTTTGAGATTTGCTTGCTTTTTAAGGTTGTAGAATATCTTTTCTATACTTTTTCTTTTATTTTTGTATTCCAGTTTCATACCTTAACCAATTTTGCTTCTTTAATCCCTTTTGGCCTCTCCTCTTTTTATTCTCTTTTTTTCTCAATACTTCAGTTGATAGATTTTTATCTAATTCTTTTTTTTTTTTTTGAGACTCAGTCTCTCTCTGTCACCCAGGCTGGAGTGTAGTGACACAATCTCAGCTCACTGCAACCTCTGCCTCCTGGGTTCAAGCGATTCTCTTGCCTCAGCCCCCCAAGTAGCTGGGACTACAGGCGCCCCGCCACCACGCCCTGCTAACTTCTGTATTTTTAGTAGAGATGGGTTTTCACCATTTGGCCAGGCTGGTCTTGAACTCTAGACCTTGTGATCCACCTGCCTCAGCCTCCCAAAGTGCTGGGATTACGGGCGTGAACCACCATGCTTAGCCTGTAATTCTTTAACTAGGTCTACCTTGCATTTAAATGTATTCACTTAATTATTAATTTCCGATATATGTTTTTAAATCTAGAATTTCTTTTTAACTTTTTATTGTATTCATTTTACTGTCAATCATTCAATCTTGCTTTTTAGCTGTTTGAACATATCAAATATAGTAATTTAAAAATCTCTATGGGTAGCTCCAGTATAAGTATGGATTTGTTTCTATTATGTGCTGTTTCTCTTGGTTTTCTATCATGTTGTTTTATTTACCTTGAAACATAAATGTGTTTATGATGAATGAGAGTCAGTGAACATTTTAAAAAATCATAGAGATAATTTGAAGCTAGAAGAATGTTCTTTTCATCCAGACAAGATTTATTTTGTTTCTGCCATATGGCTGTGGACACTAGCAATTCTCATCTACTTTAATTCAATCAAGGATTGAGATTACTGGAGTAGGAAATTAACTCTGTCTGCTTCCAGTCCATACTTACTTCTTCCCTGTAGCTCTTTTCTTAAATTTTTTAAAAAATTGTATTTCAATAGCATTTGGAGTGTAAGTGTTTCTTTGCTACATGGATGAATTATATAGTGGTGAATTCCGAGGTTTAGGGCATCCATCACCCAAGTAGTGTATACTGTACCTAATATGCAATTTTTTGTTTTTTGTTTTTTTAATCCCTAGCCCCTCTTCACCCTCTCCTTTCTAAGTCTCTAAAGTCCAATATATCAGTCTCTATGCCTTTGCGTACTTGTAGCTTAGCTCTCACTTATAAGTGAGAACATAAGGTTTTTGGTTTTCCCTTTAGAATCCCGGACTGTAGTCTAAGGGAAAGGTTTCCAAGCTACTCTCCTTATTGCACTCCAAAGTATGATTTTTATCTCCCTAACTCTGTGAGTTTAGTAAAAGCTTTGCTTGACTTTTCAGCATCTCACGTGCCTTTTCTGAATTTGACAGATGCACATCAGAAAAGTGCTCCCAAATGCTTATCTCTCTTTATTAACTTCTCCAAATCTTTGCCAATAACTATATCTTAACTGCCTTGTTTGCTCTTTAGAGCATTGTAACACATGTATTTTCATAGTTTATCCTGCTTTTCCAGTTTTTTTCATTGAAATAATTGTCATGATGACCAATAGTCTAGTATGCTGCTGTAGGACTTCTATAGCTGTTATCTCCGTTCATATTTCAGTTTCTTTATGTGTTTTTTCCTACATGAATTCCTGGGTTCCGTTTTCTAATTCATAGGTTGGCAAATGATGAATGTAATATGATGATGATGGCCTGTGTTCCAGCCATATACTCTTTTAAAGAAAATTTTACTGAAACACAGTCATGTCCTCTTGTTTACATATTATCTATGACTTATTTTGCATTACAGTGGCAAAGTTGAGTAATTGTGGAAGAGACCATATGGCCTACAAAGGCTAAAATTATTTACCATCTTGTTCGTTATGAAAAAGTTTGCTGACTCCTATTCTGATTTTTTATTTATTCTTTAACATTCTGAAGTTTGTCAATTGATTTAAACATTTTAATGACTTTTTCCTTTCTAAATAATATATTTTTTATCTACCTACTACTGTGCCATTCTATATTTTTTGCCTTAATCAAATAATGTGTTTTAATTAAGTCAGTGAAAAAAAGAACTGACTGAAAGTAGAAGTGAAAATCTAAGCTATAGGCGACTATATTATACAAGCTTCTCAAAATATAATTGTTTTTCCATTAGATATAGAAATATGGAAGTGACCACAAGATTGACATGGAATGATGAAATTCACCTGCGAAAGCTGCTTGGAAATGTTTCTTTGAGTCTTCTCTATAAGTCTAGTGCTCATGGAGATAGTATTGAAGCTATGTTGCAAAGATGCAGCCATCAGGGATGTACTGTAACAATGATTTACGTTAATTGCAATATCATTGTAGCCTTTATGCTTGGAGATTATTCTAATTTATATGAAAATTCTGCAGAGCTAAATGATTCCTTCTGGTTTTCAGTTCAAAAGAAAGATGATACCACTGAAATAGAAACTTTACTCTTAAATATAGCACCACAAATTAGTGATAAAGAATTGGTTGGTCGTTCCTTGAAAAAGGATATTTTCCTTATACGGCTATATAATAACACAATTTATCTAACTGAAGTGATAACAAAAAAGTTGAAACTAGACTTTTACGGCTTCAAAAAATATTTGGAATGTGAAGTTTTTCGAGTTGAAGGTACGTGAAATTAGATAATCCTACATCTCACATTATGGTTCTAATGTTCGTGTTTGGAGGGTAATAATTGCTCTACAAGAGCAACGAAAGTGAGAGGAAAGTCAGGTTCGTGCCAACTTATCCTCTGATAAATTCTGAAATGAAACATGGGGAACATGAAAATTATGAGGTTTTTATCCAGAAAGTATAGGCTGCTTTGAGCAAAGTAAGTTGAGAAATACATGTGCAGAGATAGAGATGAAAAAGAAGATGGAGATGAAAAAGGAGGGGAGAGAGAGACAGAGAGAGAGAGAGAGAGAGAGAGAGAGATCTTATCATTAGAGCTAGTTTGTTTTGACATATGACCCAAAGATCAGACCCTTGTAACATATGACCCTTTGAACTTCTAGGCGTAATTAAGTGAGGGTTTCTAGAGCAAGTTAATATGCAGAGAGGATAATTTTTTCTTCTCTTCCTCTCACTATGCTGCCAACCCTGACTCCTAACTAAGCAGCTCAGCCCTGGGTTATGCAAATGAATTCGATGTCTTATTTTAAAAGTAGACATGACCACATTTAACCGGAGAAGTTTAAAAACCTTATGATGCTATGTTTATTCCTATAGGATTTAAGGATAACCTAGACTATGCAAAGAAGATAATGAAAGCTGGAGAGTAAGTTAGATTTGTGGGCTATCTACTCATCATTTTATTTAGACCAATTGTATAAAGAATGCTGACAAGTAGTAAAGATAAAAATCATGCCACTTGAAAAGATAAACAAGAGTTATGATGTTATTGATATAAAATAGCAAAGACACTACCAACTATGAAACTTTAAAAATCCACCTGATAACGTTGACCAATTGGACTTCGTTTCCACTTTAGACGTTAGATTCAAATTTTTCAAGTTATAACCATTTTAGATAATTTCTCTGAATCTTTTCCTTGAGATACAGCGTTTGAGAATCCTCAGTAAATGTTAAAAACAAACCCTTTTTCAATTTATAGTTAGATAGCTACATTGTCTATATTTTATTTTGATTTCTTCTTAATATATTTTTAGTGAAAATAATAATTTATCTTCAATGTTACTAATATTATACTTATGTGGTCTAAGACAGATAGTTGAAAAATGGTTTGGTTGCTGGTTAATATTTAACTTTAGTCAGATATAAAATAATGCATTTTCTTTAAGCACAAAATGTATAACTTTAGATATTTACAAATCATATCATAGAAGATTCCGTTATCAAAATAATAAGTAATAAAAAAATCCTTCTTAGAGAAGAGAAAGAAGCTCTAGGTGACTTGTGGTGTTCTTTATTGGGTGTTCTTGTGCTGTATTTAACCATTGCATTTTAACAGGCACAGAAATAGGCTTCTAGCAGAAATCAGAGATTACAAGCCCTATGCAGACTTGGTTCCAGAAATTCGTATTCTTTTGGTGGGTCCAGTTGGGTCTGGAAAGTCCAGTTTTTTTAATTCAGTCAAGTCTATTTTTCATGGCCATGTGACTTGCCAAGCCATCGTGGGATCTGATGTCACCAGCATTACTGAACAGGTAAGTTATTTCCCTGAGGATTTTATTCTATAGATTACAATTATTATATTATTTATGTTTTTGCCTTTTTCTCTCAGGACAATCCTAATATATAATTAAATGCTAAATCTACAATTAAATCCTAAATCAAATGGGAAATAGGAGTAAAATTTTAATCAGAATCACCTCCATTGAGCTATATTATACAGAGAAGTTTTCAAATTTTATAGATGGAAGAAGCAGTTATATAAATAATACTTTTTAGTGTTTGTGTAGAAAACAAAAATTGAAAAACTCTGTGGAAATCTTTGACCATTATATTTGATGTTCATTTTTACACATGTACCACATGATTTTACCTAGTTTAAATGATTTTCTCATAATAAAATAATAAGAATTATGTAAGATATTTTATTTTATTTCATAATTCCATTCTCTAAGACATGGTCATGAAAAGCAAAAATAGTAGTTCACATTGGTGGGTCAACTTTGAAGGAGAAATTGAAGTGTAAATCTATGCTCTTACAAAAACTATCTTATTTACAAAAAGATATGCTTAAGGAAATAAATAGTAATATAGATTTCTTAATTGTTACCCTAAAGAACTACAAATTATGATGCAACAGTTGTCTAGAAAATTCCTTCTGGTTTATGCTTATCAATGTTATCATGCAATCAAACAAAAAATAATAAAGGAAAAAACAAAATTTTAGAATCAGTCTTTTTTTATGATAACCACAAATTATGTCACTTGTTAGGGAATATGCTGTTATTATCAATGTAAAATTTAGCATAATATAAGACTACATAATAGACAGTAATGGTTCATTTGAGCTTCTGTGTCACATTCAATAACTGAAAGAATTTTCTAGGACTTTCCAGAATCACATCTTATTTCTTGATATTGGCCAGATACTATGCTCTTGAGTGGCTTTAATATCTCAGTGTAGCCTCAGAAGTCATAACTAGATACTGCCACACAATTTCAATTAATTAAGCATTGACTGAAATGTTTCTGTTTGTTAAATGTTCATTCAGAACTAGAGACCTAGTTACAAATAATGCTTGGTCTCATTGCCCAGAGATCTCAGAGACCAATGCAGATAATAAATATGCATCATTTATTGTGATACATGCCACAATAGAGGTACTATTCAAGACAAAATTTCTATTTCTTCCTCTTAAGTTTTAAATTTCAAAGGTCTTGTTTTAAGAGAAGATGTAGATACTGAACTCCAGTGAAATGCAAATGTTATTTAAACTGAAGACATATGGGGGGAATTTTAGGAGGGAAATAAAATATTTTATTGCTTAAAGACCTTTTTGTTTGAATAACTGAAGTTATAAAGGAAGCAAATTAATGGTAAGGAAACTGTGAAGACGCATATTGGTGTTCCTGAAATTTTACAATGTACTTTAGCACTAGGGCTTAGTATAATTCTTTTGTGTTGGGGCACTAGTAGGTCTTATTCTCCTAGATAAAAATCTTCAGTAGGATTACTCCTACACATTTCACGGCCCAGTGAGAGCTTTTGACTTTATTACAGATTACAATAGGTCATAGAGGGTATTTTCCTTCTGGTTTGAGCTATATTACACCCTTGCCAGCACCACAGATGGAAAAATTGTACTTAAAGTGTCTCTGAGAAATTCTTTCCTTTGTAATTCTTCCCAAATCTTCTATACTTTTTTGTGTGTATGTGGAAAGTATATCTGACCAACAAATAAAATAGTTTCAGAATTCTTCTAAAAAATACTCTTGCAGTAAGATGGAATGTGTTTATCTGGGAAAGAAGCTTCTGTTGTGCTTCTCAAAGTGAGATTTGTGGACCACTCGGGTTTCCTGAGACATTGTAAGGGTATCTCTGAGTTCAAAACAATTTTTTAGAATTATTCTAAGTTTTTTTTTTGTTTTTTTCTAGTGTATTGACACTTGAATTTATTATGCAACATAGTTTCACCTGTTGGCACATTAGTATGAATCAAACGTGGCACGAAACATGACTAGCAGTCATCATATTTCTCCCAATTGCTGTACTTAAAGGAAAAAAAAATGCCAGTTTTACTCAAGAATGTCCTTTATGAATAGTTACAGTTATTGGCTTTATTTAAACTCCACTTTGGAGTATACATCATTTTAATATTCAGTGTGATAAAATGGGAAGTGCTCATAAAGTACTTCTAATGCTATTGAAAATTGGCAGTTGTCTTTAGAAAAAGCACTGGAGCAACTGAGTTGTTAACTGAACCTTTTTAAAAATATATAACATCACATTTACTGGACAGAACAGACTTATTTATTCTTGGATATTTGGCAGCTATTTTAATAAACATACTTAAAGTGACCCTACTAATCCGGATAACCCAGTGAACCAATGTTTTAAAATGAACAATAAATTAGGCTAAAATTATGCATGAGTAAAAGATATATTCAAAGTGTAAGATAGACCAATGGATTTAATGTGGCAGCATACAAAAATGTCACAGATTCCACATTACAACTAACCTTTAAGAAGTTATTACTTGTTGAGCTTTAATATATCATGTTGAGGAATATTCATACCTGAAAGTTATACAGTGAAATATTACCTCCTCTCATATTATACATATGTGTGAGAGGCCATATTTTCTTCACATACTTCAATTAAAATAACATATCAACAGATTGAATCAGAGCCACATGTATCTCATATATACAGTTATTTTCCTTAATCCAGAGATTAAAGAGAATTTTAATAATAAACCAATGACACTGTTTTCTACAATTTTTTTAAAAAAATACTTTTTAAATAAAAAATAAAAATGTTATTTGATGAATATGTGACAGGTTTGTAATTGTATTTTTAATGATTAAGACAACATTTAAGAGGAGGAGGGGCAGAGCAAGATGGTCACACAGGTCACTCCGGCAATTGTCCCTCCACTGAAACATCAGTTTGATTTTGAACAACTATTAACACACAAAAATATCTTCACAAGGCCTCAGGAAACCAGGTGAAAGATCACAGTACCTGGTTCTAGCATAATCATAAGAAAAGATACATTGAAGAGGGTAGGAAAGATAGTTTTACATTATCTGCATCACCCCTTCAACTCCAGGCAGCATAGTGTAGAGAGAACTATCATCTGCTTGGGGGAAAAGAGGGAAGTGAGGACAGGACTTTGCCCGGACTCCAATATCAGGCCTGCTACAGAAAAATCCAGCACTGGGTCGAAGCCCATGGCCCCAGACTTTAGGCTGATGTCTGAGGGCTGAGCCTCTAGACCCATGCTGGTGCCAAGTGAGACCATGTGGCCCTAGATTTCAAGCTTGCATGGTGGACTCAATCCCTGGGCCACACCATGGATTGGTTATTAGTGGCCCAGCCTGTGAACAGCTCTTAGTGGCAGGGATGCTGCAGTGGTCCTGAGCTTTAGGCATGCCTCAGTGCTGCACAAGTCACCGTGGTCCCAGGCTTTGGGACCATGCAAGGCAGCCTGCCCAGACTCTTTGGATGGGCTGATTGTTGAAGGACTTCTCCAGACAAAGGCGATCTGCAAATTTAGGAATAAGTACCTACTTCCAGAGATGTTTGTACATTGACATAGGGTCACAAGGGTCAAGAATGATCAGTGTAACATGATGTCACTAAAGAGAGAAAATAATGTACCAGTGACCCAAAGTAGAGATGTATGAACCACCTGAAGAATTTAAAATAATTATTTGAAGGAAGCACAGCAAATTTCAAGAAAATACAGAGAAACAATTTAACAACGTGAGAAAAATGTTGAGTGATCAGAATAAGAAATTTAGTAGAAAGTTATGATAATTACAAAAATCAAAAATCTCAGAGCTAAAAAAACACAATGGGTGAAATGAGAAATGACATAGAAAGCATCAGCAGCAGAATTGATCAAGTAGAAGAGTCTGTAAACTTAAAGGCAGGTTATTTGAAAATATAGGCGAGGAGAAAAAAACAGAATGAAAAAGAATGCAGAAAGCTTATGGGATTTAGTATCAAAAGAACAAATACTCAAGTTATAGGAGTGAAAGGAGACAAGAAATTAAGAGTGATAGAAAGCTTAAATAAATAAATAGTAGCAAAACCTTCCCAAACCTAGAGGAAGATGTAAATATCCAGGTAAAGGTGAGAGAAAAGTCCCCAATCGGTTTTAATTCAAACAATATTAACCCAAGACATATTAAAATCAAACTATAAAATATCAAAGAAAAAGAGAGGACTCTTAAAACAGGAAGATAAAAAAGCAAATAACAGAGAGTTTTAATAAGGATGCTAATAAGTAATTTAAAATATCTGGAAGTATAAAACTCACTGTTAAAACTAAGTATACAGTAGAATTCGGAATACTCTAATACTATAATGATGGTGTGTAAATCAGTTATATCTTCAATATGAAGGTTAAGAACCAAAACTACTACAATAATAATAACTGTAACACTTTGTTAAGGGACATGCAATATGGAAAGGTATTGTGGTATCAAAGATGTAAACCGTGGGGAGGAGTGGAGTAAAAATAGAGTGTTTTTTTTTTTTTCTAAGTGGAGCTGTTATTAACTTGACATAACTGGTTATAAATATGTTTTTTTGTATAAGCATCATGGTTAACCACAAAACAAATACTGATAGTAGATACACAAAATATAAAAAACAAGGAGTCAAAACATGCCACTATTTATATATACATACACACACACACATATGCATGTATGTGTGTATATATATATATGTGTATATATACATGTTTTACATGATAAATTACATATAATTTCCCTTTTAATTAAAAAACAAGCATTTAAACTTTTTTTAGTATTAATTTCCAATATTTTAATCATCCACAGATATTACCCACTTAAATAACAGTTCTTTGGGATTCTCAATAACTTTTAAGAGTCTAAAGGGGTCTTGAGACCAAACTGCTTGAGGACCATGGTGTTTAAATATTAATCAGTCTCTTTTCTTCTTATTGTCATGCCTTGAATGCTGGGTGATGAATGAACATTTACACGTAATATATTTTTTAACAGTATAGGATATATTCTGTCAAAGATGGAAAAAATGGAAAATCTCTGCCATTTAAGTTGTGTGACACCATGGGACTAGATGAGACAGAGGGAGTAGGACTATGCATTGGTGACATCCCCCACATCTTAAAAGGTTGTGTGCCAGACAGATATCAGGTAAGGATTCTTCAATATCCAGAAAATTTCAAATCATTTTCTTCAGTATTTTTAATTGAATTTTCAACCTCAAAAGGCAATTTTAACTGCCATAATGTGGTTTCAACATCACCCAATACAATTCTACTTTAAATGAAAAAGAATTCATATAAAAAAGTAGAGTGACTATTGTTCTTTTCTGTAACATTGAGAAATAAAGCCAAAAGGCAGGATTCTATTCATCCACATTCCAGGAAAAGATCACGGGGATGTTGTGTTTTTATCACTCCACACTAATGTAAACTAATAATAAAATAGTCACTTAATCTCTTGCACTTTTTGGATTACATAGACAAAATATTGGAACAAGTACTACTTTGTGTTGAAATGTGATTTTATACTGTAAGTGCTTAGATTTCACTACTAAATACTTAGATTCAAAATTTGGCTCTGCCACTAATGCATGTGTACCCATATGTAAGATACACACTTTCTCTCATAGTCTCTTTTTAGGTGTGAAATGTTGGTATTAATAGTGTCTATCTCATAGGGTGGCTAAGAAGGTTAAATGAGATATTGCAGTCTAAGTTGTCAAAAAAGCTAATAATGATCGTTACCTTTCTTTAGGTGTTGGGTATCAGCCTCAGTTTCTAAAGAATAACCTCTTTTGCCTCCCAATTGTGCTGAGTTGGAAACCTTACCTATGTATTCATTTCTTTACTCAGAAACCATTTATTATAAGCCATATTTGTGCCAAATTCTAAGCCAGTTACTGAAAACACATAGTTCAATAACACAAGCCTTATCCTCTAGGAGTTCATAATCCAGTCAGGGGAAAGGAGTCATAAAGATAAAGAGAGGAGGAATGCAGTGAAGACATTGGAGACATCAGAAGCATACTAACACCCTAATTTTTCATAGCAGGGAATCAGTCAATTCAGTCCAACATTGAAATATATAGTTTAATAACTACACATTTCCAAAGTATTGTTTCATAATCTACTTCCTTAATCTTAGAAAGATTACTGTCTTGTGATAAGGAGACATTAACTTCAAAGTTGGTATTTCTTTTATTTGACTTTAGTTTGTTTTTCTTCTGTAAAATCAAAATAAATTACAGTCTTTTAGTTTAGCAGTTTCAATATTTTTTTCTTTCTTTTATTTTTTCTATCCATTAGTTCACTTAAGCATGCAAAATGCTTAGGGAGAAGCCTTAAATTGTATTTAACACGTGTTAATGCTGTTTATTTCTGGATACAAATATTTGAAGTCAGCTTTTAAAAGATAGTCTTTATACTTTCCTGCAATACCTACAATGGATAATTATCATTTTTACCAAATCAATGAAGTGTTGTTGTTTTTTTTTTTTTTTCACAAGAGAGATATAATGGTATTATGCTCACAGTGGAAAGGAAGTAAAGAGGGGATACCACAAATTTGGGGAAAGAGTAGCTGAGGGGCAGGAGGGAGGTAAGAGGTGACAGTATTTGAAGCATTAACTGTGTCTTTAAAGATTAAACAGAAGCTCTCTGAATTATTCATGTTACTTTATGTTTTTATAACAGTTTAATCCCCATAAACCAATTACACCTGAGCATTCTACTTTTATCACTTCTCCATCACTGAAGGACAGGATTCACTGTGTGGCTTATGTCTTAAACATCAATTCTGTTGACAATCTCTCCTCTAAAATGCTGGCAAAATTCAAGAAAGTTCACAAAGAAGTATTAAGCTGTGGTGAGTCTCATTGTGCTTATCAAACAAATTTTATTCTGAAATAATTATAGATTTGCAGGAAGTTGCAAAGAGGGTACAGAGATTTCCCATGTACCTTTCATCTGATTTCTCTGGCGCAGTGGCTGTTGCAGGTAGAGATTATTCACAGGCATGACTGAAGAAAGACCCCAAATCCTAATGTTCAGTCTTTAAAGAATAGAGTAGCCGTAATTTTTTTTGTCATGTATGATTTTCCTGAGTCTTTAAGTAGGGAAATCCCATCTTCACACTATGTGGCTAGACTAGGAAAATCGAATCAAGGAAAATGATTATTGTTAACAATGTGTGTTTATAGATCTGTGTCATTTTATCACGTGTGAATTGATGTACCCATCACTAAAACCAACTATTACATCACTTTGTAGATTTCCCTCATGGCACCCACTATTCCCCCACCATCCTTAATTCTTGGCAACTACTAATATTTTCTTTATTTCCATGATTTTGCCATTTTGTGAATATTATACAAATGGAATCACACAGTATGTCACCTTTTGAGACTGGCTTTTTTGACTCAACCTAATATCCTTAGACATCCGTCCAAGATTTTGTATGTATTTATTGTTCATTAAAAAAAATTTTTATAGTATTCCATGGTATAGATATACCACAGTTTAACCATGCTATATCAAAAAATATTCCAGTTTTTAGCTACTGCAAATACAATTCCTGTAAATATTAGTGTTGAGGTTTCATGTGGATATAAGTTTTTTATTCCTCTGGGATAAGTCTCCAGAAGTGTAATGCTGGGTCATATAGTAACTGTATATTTAGCTTTGAAGGAGATCACCACTCCAGAGGGACTGTACCAATCCCACCAGCAATACATGAGATAACTAATTTTTCTGCATTCTTGCTACTATCTGGTATTGCTGCTGTTAGAAAATTCTTAACTCTTCTAATAGGTGTATACTGATATTTCATTAGGGTCTTAACTTGCATTGCTTAATGACTAATGACATTGAACATCTTCTCATGTGCTTATTTGCCTTCCATATAGCTTGTTCAGTGAAATGTCTCTTCATGTCTTTTGACAATTTTCTGATTGGGTTATTTGTGTTTTTTAGAAGTTGAATTTTCAAAGATCTGTAAATCCTAAGTGTGAGTTAATTGCCAAACACATGGTTTACAAATAGTTTCTTTCAGTCTAGCTGTCTTATTATTATGACGATTTTCAGCCCTGCCATCTCTCGTCTCTCCTTTTGGAACTCTGTGACATGAATTCTAGATTTTTTTTTATAGTCTCACAATGTATTTATTTTTTTGTGCCTATTTGATCTTTATTCTTCAGAGCGAGTAATTTCTATTGTTATATCTTTAAATTCACTTGTTCATTACTTTGTCCTTTCCCTTCTGCTTTTGAGCATATCTATTATTTTTCCTATCTTGGTTATTATATTTTTTAGTTCTAAAATTTCAGCTTGATTCTTTCTCATATCTTCTATTTCTTTGCTGAGACATTCCACTTCCTTCATTTCTTTCAAGCATATTCCTACTTGGTTTTTATGCACTTTCATGATGGTTGCTTTAGAATCCTTGTCAAATAATTCTAACATCTTTGTCATCTAGTTAGGGTCAGGCTCTCCTGATTAGCTTTTCTCATTTAAGTTGAACATTTCCTGGGTTTTGATGTGACAAATGATTTTTAATTGTGTTTTTTATATTTTTGGTATTTTATTCTGTGATTCTGAATCTTACACCATGTGTTTTAATAGACATATTCTGATACTGGTAGGATGAAAAGTACAGATTTACCATGGCCTTGTCTGACACCCTTAGAGAAAGGGTGCCCCATATAGGATCCCCTGACATCACAGGGGCTAGAAGCCTCCTTGCATCTAAGGTTAATGAAGGCTAAAGTTCCAGCTTCTCACTTGTTCTCCCGTGACACTGCCAAAGAGGGAGAAGAGCACCTCATTGCTGCTGATTGGATTGAAGTCTAGGATCCCCAAGTAGCCTCCATTGACACCATCAGGAGGGACCTTGTTAGTATAGTGCAGGTATAAATGTTCTGGCTCCCTACGTTTTTTTCTTCTCTGATACTACCTCGGCTAAGGTTAAAGGTTGGTAAAGGGAAGGACATATCCATGGATAGGGCTAAGGTGAATTCCGTGATGTTTGGTTGGGATAGTGTGGCTATTTTCTGAAAATTTTCTGTCTTGCTACACAGCCCTTTTTCTCATGCTTTGACTAGATGGAACAGGTTTTACTTTACTTTTTTTTTCTTTTTGTTGGCTCTAATTGGCATTTTCCAGTTGTGAGTGTCTCTAAAAGCCAATCTGGGACATATGAAATAAAAAGAAAGCCTAGAGAACTGATCTCTTTTTTGTTTCTTGGGTCTCAAGGTCTCTAGTCAAATTGCATTCTCTGCACTTTCCAATCGTTGTGTTTGATTTATGTATAATGTCCAGAGATTTTAGCCATATTTAGTGTAAAGAAGAGGGGAAAGTCTATACCACTTGATCCACAACTGGAAGTACTCTCACCGATCTTCCAAAAGATTTTAATATAAAGAAAATAATATAATATAAATATAAAAGAAAATAATATAATATAATATAAAAATAATATAAATGAATTGATTTTAATATAAAGAATTGTGTTTATATTCCAAAGTCTCACTGCTTACTATATTAATAGAAAGGTCACATATTTAGATTCCAAAAAGTGCTATGCAGTTTAATGTATAGAGCATTGTCTCGGTTAAGTGACCCTAGTTTTTAAGTAGTAGTAAACTTTGACCTTGAGGAAGGTAACTTAATTTCACTGAACTTTAGTCTTCTGTTCTTATCAAATGGCGATAGTAAGTTTTGCATCTGAACTTAATAAACTGTCTAACAAACGCCTGAGTAGTGAACATTAGATACACACAATGTAAATATATAAGCATATATAAGTACTTAACAGTTCTAAAGTTATGGAGGGATTGAGGTAAGAGAGAAGTGCTAAGCTTCACAATGAGTTTGCAAGATGTATGGCAACACATTGTGCTTGGCGTGCTGGATGGCAGTGTTTAATGCAACTAACTGTGCTGACTTAGGACCTCTAAAAGGACATTGCATTAATTTTGAAAGAGAAGAAGTTCATTGTAACAGAGGTTGAAAAAAATGGTAGATGCCAATTGAGAACTTCTGTGTACCAGAACTAAGTGTTTATTGGCCAACTTTGCTAGTTATTCCTTTGAAGCTTGAATGAAGAGAAGGTAGTAAAGGAAATAATTTAGTAATGGAAAAAAGGAACACAAGATTTTGGTAGGACAAAGGTACTAAAAGCTCTGGTGAAGGAGTCTTAGGGGCTTCCTTGACTGGCCTTAGAAATTAGTCTTGTATTTTCCTCAGAAGTAGTTGTTAGCATAGCAGAATTTGGATTTGCTTAGAAGTCAAGTGTGATTTATTAATCCAGTCCCTGTGGTTTGAGGGAGAAAGCAGTAGGTCCTTAGTAGAACTGTGTCATCAGTACAGTTTGCTCTCATAAATGTTCATATACAACCCTCCTCACTTCCTCTCTTTCTTGTGGTTCTTTTTAGTCCGCAGAGTCCGGCAACCACTTTTTTTTTCCCTTGACCAATTTAAAACACACTATTTGAATGGAATCGTAGATAATTGCAGTTTAGCATGAATTTAATTGCATTGAAAAATGATCTCTCATGTTGGAAGAAAAAGATCAAAGATCGTTTCTCCACTAGAAAAGCTTCAGGCTCCATATTGAGAATTATTGGGAATATTTTATTCTTCAAATATCAAAATCACCTTTTAGAGTTGCTTTCACACATATTTAATAACTTGTTGACAAATTGATATTTATGATATAAGGTAACTGATTTTTCTATTTGATATAGGTATAGCACATGTAGCCTTGCTTACTAACGTGAATAATTGCAGTGAGGTTCTTCAAGACAACTTTTTAAACATGAGTAGATCTGTGACTTCTCAAAGCAAGGTAAAGAATGCTAATCATCATCAGATATTTTTGTAATCGTATCACAATCATTCTTGTGTGTGTGTCTGTGTGTATATATGTGCTCACATGACACATTTGCAGGGAAATGAAGAATGGGATCAATTGCTTTGAGTAATTCAAATCTATATCACACTTTAAAACTGCAATGATCTGAATTATTAGTATGTTCTGAAGATAACTTATTCAGCCTTAGCTTCTTTGATTTCTTTCTTAAATTATATTTAAAATTGGTCAAATTTTAAATATTAAATACAAGACTTACGCTTCTTAAATATACTTTCCACAGGTCACAATTGTCAATAAAATGCTAGGCATCCCTATTTCCAATATTTTGATGGTTGGAAATTATGCTTCAGATTTGGAACTGAACCCTATGAATGATATTCTGATCCTCTCTGCACTAAGGCAGATGCTGCGGGCTGCAGATGCCTTCTTAGAAGATTTGCCTTTTGAGGAAACTGGTAATCTGTCCCTTTTCTCCCCCTCTCATAAATTACTGGTTATTTTTTAAAAAATCCTAAGGTATATATCAGTTATTAGATGGCTGGGGCCCATCTCCCTGCCCTAGTCCTGAAAACCACATTAAGATATGCGCTTCATTTCCACTCTTGTTTGTTTCATTTGCAGGTGCAATTGTGAGAGTGTTACAGCCCTGCATTTGATATCCTTGACTCTGGATATCCGTGACTCTGACATTTGGGCCAACCTGTATTGGCGTGCCTCAATAAGAGTCCATCTCTATTGACAGTTGCCTTCAGATTTTGCTTCTGTTCATTTTTCCTTCTGTCCTTGGAACAGTCATATCTGAAGTTGAAAGGCCAAACCTGAGAAGCAGTGGGCTAAGATAGGCCCTACCACAAACCACTCTTCCATATTTCTGTGCTATTTACGATTCAATTTCTGTGATATATTTTTAAACCATTCCAGGAAAAATGAGATATTCTTTTATTTATTCTTCTATAACTAACACTCCATATACCTCTATGTAGTACTAATCACATTGAATAATAGTTATAAAATTTTTGCATAGACATCTACTTTCTTAAATAGATTGTGAGTTCTGTGAGAAACAGCATGGATTTTATTTATCTATGTATTCCCAGAGCTTATCACAGTGCCTGGTAATGAGCAAGCATACTTGCTATTACTGCCTCCACCACCCTCTCTGACATCACATTCACTTTAGATTTTTCTCCGCATGCCTGTAGTGTGCCACCATACCCAGTTAATGGTGGCTTACTCAGGAAGCTGAGGTGGAAGAATTGATTGAGCCTGGGAGGTGGAGGCTACAGTGAGCTGAGATTGTGCCACTGCACTCTAGCCTGGGAGAAAGAGTGAAATCCTGACTCAAAAACAAAACAAAACAAAATAAAACAACAAATAACAACAAAACAGAAATGAAGACTAAAAGAGAATGAAAAGCTGGGGAGAGGGAGTAAATATAAAAAAGTGTTTCACATATACCTGAATGAAAATATGAATGACTCTTAAGTAACTGAATTAATTAAAACGAACCAACACTTTAAAAGAATTTACATTTTATTTCTATGAAAAAAATAAATGTTTCTCTTCTAAAAAGCCCATGCCTGATTATCATTAATTGAATTCCAAACCACACTAGACATGTGTCTATCAAATTAGATTACTGGTGCAAATCAATAAGAGCGTTCTTAGACTCATGCTCCAAATAATTCCGAAGTCCTCTCAGTAGCTGCGAAAACTAGGACTATCAAGAAAGAAAAACAAAATTGCCAAAAGATAGTTTTCAGCGTTTTTTTTTCCCTTAAAAACCTCTTAATAATCCTCTTCTCCAAATTTCCCAGTTTTTTTCAAAAGAATATTCTTTGGTTCAACGATTATCAACATTCTGACAGTCTAATTTAGTTTTAATCAGAATTATCCTTGTATTTTGTGTAGTCATGGGTATTAAAAGAGCAAGAGTTTCTTAGGTCCATTTATGGAATATTTCCTAAAGCAAAGCTGCAAGTGAAGTTGTGCTCAAGTGAATGTTCAGGAGACATGACTCAGTGGAAGAAATTGAGTCTTTAAAAAAGACCTAGGAATAGAAGAACCATGGAAATTGAGGCATAGACCTAGAAGTAGATGTTGGGAACAAAATTAGAGAGGCAACTCTAAAAAGTTATTATAGGCTCACCAGAGTTGTGTGCCTGTTGCATAGTAACTTACCAATACATCAAAATAGTAGGTGTCACAATAGAGAAAGAGTTTAGTAATTGGATGGCAGCAAAATGAGGAAGATTGAGGGAATCTCAGATCAACCTCCCTGCTGGGTCTAGGACTGGGGCTTTTGAGAGAAAGGCAGGTAAGGGATTGAAGGTCTGGAGCTGATGATTGGTTGGGGTGTAGGAGATGAAATGAAACAGAGATGAAAACTGCATTTTTTTTTTTTTCTGAGTCAGTTCCTTGGAGTGGGTCTTCAGACTGGTGTCAGTAGACCCATGGGATTCCAGGTTCTGGAAAACATTTTAGATAGAAACTTGAAGTTTCTTAATGTTAAATATATTATCTTATAGAAACAACGAAGGGAAGTTAGTGCCTTGTGAGAATGTCTATGTGACTTTTAGGCGGCAAGAAATTATAAGGAAAGGAGCTAAAAGTCAAGTTGTAAGTAGCTATAAGGAATTGGCTTAAGGGCAAGCTGGTTAATACTTAACTGTGTTTTTATTCAAAGTCTACATTTTATTTAGTGGTTAATATGTGCTGTTCATTAGGATGGTTTCATAGTTACCTTGCAGATGTGGAAGCAACAGGTCCAAAAAGTAGGGCATGATTTTCTCCATGTAATCCAGGGAAAAACAAGTCATGACCATTGTTGGTTGGGAGACTGAAGGTGTTTGAAGGCTTAACATCATTCTCACCAATTTTAGGGCCATAATTCACCCATCCCTTTGGTGGAGCCAGAAAAAAAATCTGGGTAGAATGTAAGACTTCCTTATTTTGTTTAAAGGGGTAACAAAGAGTGCCCTTATGAAGGAGATGAAGACCCTGCAAGGAAGAGGAGTAAAAGAGAGATCAAGAAACAGTGAGGAACATTTCATTTGACCCAACATCTTTTAGGAGCTTAAATGTTGACTCTAAGTTCTCCTTTTTGTGCTAAAATGGACAGTATTAGCAAAATGATATCACAACTTCTTATCCTCTGGCTCTGGAAACACTTAAATATCAAATGGAATTAAATATATATTTGAAATTTAGGTTAGGAAATATTTGTGAGGAGGCCTCAAAAAGTGGGAAACGTCTTTTGCCTGGGAGGACCTCTTTCATTTTGTGGATTTCCCTGATCTTTCTCTACCACCCTGAGGGGTAGTGGGAATTATCATTATGCTACATTTTAGAGGTCATCCAGGATTTTTGAAACCTGACATAATTTGCAGTGAAGCAAGATGTACAGCTCAGTCAAAGACACGAAATTCTTCTTAGAAAAATAGTGCTAAGAAGTATAGCAGAGGAACTATTAAGTGTGGTGGAAGATAGAATATCATCCTAAAGTGAGAGTGATGTTGTGGAGACAGTTGAAATGTCAGTGCTAGAGCCCTTTGTGGTGTGAACGGGTAGGTTAGGTTGTTGCATTAGAAAGTGACTGTTTCTGATAGAAATGTGTAGCTTTGTGCAAACGCACCCACCACTGACCTCAATAAAATAATGAGAAAAGAAAAATAGAACAGTTTGAGTTCTGTGAGGTACACTGGCCCAGAAAGGCATAAGTATGGGCCTTTAGTCTTGCCTCCTGGGTGCCACACTGCCCCTCCACACACATACCTGGGGACAATTGTTTAAAGTTATTTTGTTCCCGACTAGCACTTTGCCCGTTATCTTCATGTTCCTGGAATTTGATACAATTTATAGCCAATCAATAGCTTATGTTATTTTACTGTAAATTCCTGGTAAATAACTTAGAAACTGCCTCTTCCTTTTCTTTGAAAACATACTTGTAACTGTTGCTAATAAGATTGCATATTGTTCAGGGCAACTGGAATCTATGCTGTTGGGTTGCAACCCTCATGCTTGGCCCAAATAAACTCTCTGCTTACATTAGTTTTTCCTACACTTCTTCCTTTTAGGTCAAGAATACCAAGAGAAGTTACTGTGCTGGGTAAAGTGTAAGCTTGTGTCTTGTTTAGAAAGGTACATTTAAAGATTATCACATTGCTTTTTCATAAAACAAAACAGGTCCACAATTAATTTATTTTGACATAATTTGATAGGGGGAGCCAAGTAGGCACCATATGCTTAATGATCAGCAAATAAATAATCATCTTTTAGCAACATAACTCAATCTAATGCCCAGGTACCCACAAGATGGCAAGACTGATCAAAGGCTTCATGGGGTCCTGCAGCCAAAAGCCATGGGAATTTAGAAGCCCTCAATTCCCATCCCTAATCTGAGGAAGCTATGGACCAATTTGTGGATGACAGTAGATTAAATAGATCTGATTTTTGCCATCCAGGTAAGAAGGATTAAAACTTGCATACTGGTTATAAACCCTTGCAAAATCTTTCTCTGATGTTGGAGAAAATGCAGGTTACTTGGGCCAGTAAGAACATAGATATAGAAGTATAGTCAATATTCAACTGCACCCTCCCCCATCCCACTTTTTTCCTCAACACAATTCAAACGAATAGACTCAAACTGTTTCAGCCTCCAGAACTGGAAGGGCAATGTAAGCGAAATTGCCAAAACTGAGAGTACATGGGTGGAGGTGGGGAGGTCGAGTAACAAGGTGTGCTAAACAATTATGTGTAAATATATTTTTTTCATTTTAAAAAAATTGAGTTCTTTTGCGTATTTCATGACAATATCTGTCAGATTTTTTAAATAAATGCAAAACAAAACAGAACACATATGTCTAAGCCTCTGAACTCATTTGTCTTCCATTTTGATAAAGTGATAAAGAAGGAATTAACATGTGAACGGACTTCTACAATTTAAATAAGCATACCAAGATAAATTCATTTATGGTGTTTTGAGTGTATGAGACCCTCTTCTACCAGATAGATGATCAGTGTTAGATTTATAAAGAGGGTATTATCAAACTTCCATGGCCAAGAAGGCCAGAGAGAGAGAGAAAAAAAAAAAAAAAAACGTGATTCATTTGTATGATAGGACTTTAGACACTTCAGATGGACACTGCATTAGCCTGTTTTCATGATGCTATAAAGAACTGCTCAAGACTGGGTAATTTATAAAGGAAAGAGTTTTAATTTGACTCACAGTTCTACAGGACTGGGAGGCCTCAGGAAGCTCACAATCTTGGTGTAAAGGGAAGCAAATATGTCCTTCTTCACATGGTGGCAGGAGAGAAAAATGAGTGCCTAGCAAAGAAAAATTATGCCTAATTCTCAGATCTCATGACAATTAACTCACTATGATGAGAACAGGATGGGGGAAACTGCCCCCATGATTCAATTATTTTCACCTGGTCCCTCCTACAACAAATGGAGTTGATGGGAACCAAAATTCAAGAAGAGATTTGAGTGGGGACACAGCCAAACCCTACCATTCCATCACTGATCCTTTCCCAGATCTCATGTCCTCACATTTCAAAACACAATCATGCCTTCCCAACAGTCGCCCCAAAATTAACTATTTTGAGCATTAACTTAAAAGTGTATAGTCCAAAGTTTCATCTGAGACAAGGCACGTCCCTTCTGCCTATGAGCCTGTAAAATCAAAAGCAAGTTAGTTACTTCCTAACCTGGAGATATACCTATTCCAAATGGGAAAAATTGGCCAAAATGAAGGGGCTACAGGCCCCATGCAAGTCTGAAATCCAGTGGGACAGTCAAAGCTTAAAGCTCTGCAATGATCGCCTTTGAATCCATTTATTACATCCAGGTCCTGCTGATGCAAGAAGTGGGCTCCCAAAGCCTTGGGAAGCTCTGTCCCTGTGGATTTGCAGGGTACAGCACTGCCACCTGAGCTGCTTTCACAGATAGCATTGAGTGTGTCTTTTCCAAGCACACAGTGCAAGCTGTCAGTGAATTTATCATTCTGGGGTCTGAAGGACAGCGGCTCTTTGCTTGTAGCTCCACTAGCCAGTGCCCCAGTGGGGACTTTGTGTGGGGACTTTTATCCCACATTTCCCTTCCATATTGCCCTAGCAGAGGTTCTCTATGAGGGCTCTGCCTCTGCAGCAGACTTCTACCTGGATGTATAGGTGTTTCCATACATCCTCTGAAATCTAGGCAGAAGTTCCCAAATCTCAGTTTTTGTCCTCTGTGTACCCATAGGACCAACACCACATGGAAGCTGCCAAGGCTGGGGGTTTGCACCCTCTGAAGCAACATCCTGAGCTTCACTTTGACTCCTTTAAATAATGGCCGGAGCAGCTGGGAAACAGTCCCAAGGCTGCACACAGCAGTAGAGTCCCTGAACCCAGCCTAGGAAACTGTTTTTCCCTCCTAGATCTCTAGGCCTGTAATAGAAGGGACTGCCATGGGGTCTCTGACATGTCCTGGAGATATTTTCCCCATTGTCTTGGGGATTAACATTCCATTTCTGGTTACTTATGTAAACTTCTGCAACCAGTTTGAATTTCTCCCTAAAAAATAGGTTTTTCTTTTCTATCCTATTGTCAGGCTGCAAATTTTTCAACTTTTATGCTCTGCTTTTTCTTGAATGCTTTGCCGCTTAGAAATTTCTTCTGCCAGATACACCAAATCATCTCTCTCAGGTTTAAAGTTCCACAGATCTTTAGGGCAGTGATGAAATGCTGTCAGTCTCTTTGCTAAAGCACAGCAAGAGTTACTTTTGCTTCAGTTCCCAACAAGTTTCTCATCTCCATGTGAGACCACCTCAGCCTAAACTTCATTGTCCATATCACTATCAGTTCAAAGCCACTCAAGGAGACTCTAGGAAATTCCAAACTTTCCCACAGCTTACTGTCTTCTGAGCTCTCCAAGTCTCTAGGAAGTTCCAAACTTTCCCATATTTTTCTCTCTTCTTCTGAGTCCTCTAAACTGTTCCAACCTCTGCCTGCTGCTCAGTTCCAAAGTTGCTTCCACATTTTTGGGTATCCTCATAATAGCACCCCACTCCCTCTGTACCAATTTACTGTATTAACCTGTTGTCACACTGCTATAAAGAACTGCCTGAGACTCGGTAATTTATAAAGAAAAGAGGTTTAATTGACTCACAGTTCTGTAGGGCTTGGGAGGCCTCAGAAAGCTTACAATTATGGCAGAAAGGGAAGCAGACATGTCCTTCTTCACATGGCAGCAGGAGAGAGAAATGAGTGCCCAGAGAAAGGGGAAACCCTTTATAAAACCATCAGATCTTGTGAGAACTAACTCACTACAATGAGAACAGGATGGGAAAAACTGCCCCCATGATTTAATTATCTACACCTAGTCCCTCTCATGACATGTGGGGATTACAGGAACTACAATTCCAGATGAGATTTGAGTAGGGACACATCCAAACCACATCAGATACCATGTGTAGTTAGATGGCTTCTTAAGGTGGCATTTTAATATATTTTTCTGCATTTTTTTATATATGGTTTCCCATTTCCCAGTCACGTACATTGTTCTCTTGAAAATTAAATGAGGGAATGGTTAAATGAGGGAGTGGAGGAAACAAAAAAGAACAACCAGAAATAATGACTCTTTTTAAAATTTGTTTGAAGGTAGGGTCTCACTCTGTCACTCAGGAGGCTGGAGTCCAGTGGTGCGATCTCAGCTCACTGCAACCTCAATCTCCTGGGCTCAAGCAATCCTCCCACTTCAGCATCCTGAATAGCTGTGACCACAGGCATACACCACCAGGCCTGGCTAATTTTTTTGGGGGGGTATATTTTTTGGTAGAGATGGGGTTTTACCATGTTGCCCAGGCTTGTCTTGAACTCCTGAGCTCATAAAATCCACCTGCCTCAGCCTCTCAAAGTGCTGGAGTTACAGACATTAGCCATTGCAGCCAATATTCAGACTTTTAAACTTCTATAGTAGACTGCTCTTGGTAGGTCAGGGCATAAAAGAATCTGGACATAACATTTACATAATGATTATGGATTAAAAAAGTAATAAAGTCAGGGTTATTTACATTTCCCATTTCTGGAGATACTGCAAGACAGTTACCCATTCTGGAAAAGGAGAGGAAAGAAAAATTAGACATAACTCTGGTGGAAGGAGGAGAGAGAAACAGAACTGGAGAGACCAAGAGAAAGAATGTGGTCAGCAGAGGGAGACTTCTGAGGACTATGCGATGGGTCAGAGTCAGGATAATACATGGAAGCCAGGAAACATGATGGAAGTCTTTGTCATTATTTGAGGAATCCCCACACTTCACTTCATAGAGAAGAAATGCTATCAGTTTTGTTGATGTGGCCTATGGATCTTCCATTAATAATGGACTGCCATCTATAGAATTTCCAATGTAAGAGCCCACTTCTGCCCTGAAATTTAGCTGAGGCAGTCTTTCCACTTGGAATATATCCCCTTTATTTGGACCTAGGATACTCAAAATAATCCCAATACACAAGGTAAGTCACTGGCACCGAAAGGGCACATCGAAGTATGGAAGGGGAGTCCCAGCACGAGTCATTTGCTGGGATATATTACACCTCTGAACTCATATGGAAGGGAACATTTATGTCTTACAGAGGTTCAAGGAAAAGAGCTGGGAACATTAGTTTCTTGAAAGTGATGGTTCATTTAAAGGACATAATTTTATTTGGGAATATTTTACACATCATGAGCAAGGGCTACCTAAATTACTGGATTATTTCAGAGAGGGCAGTTTTGCTTGTGTCTTGATAAATGCCAGCTCTTGAAACAACATATCTTGAAGAATAGGAGATTAAGCACAGGCTACCAAGTGATCTCTCTTCCTATCTCTGTGTCCTGTTCATTTACTAAGAAGCTAAATTTTGTTTATTTCAGTTCAATTGATGCTATAGGGGATTTGTGAAATATTACCCTAAGATTTCCAGGCTTCTTACTGAATGAACAGATAGGTATCTGTCAGGCCCATGTTAGCCACTCCTACTCCTTTGAGTTCTTGACACAATCTTCAGAATGAAAAAAGGAGGGTTTCCTGCTCCTTTAAGACTGTCAGGGAGTAGTGGGACCTGAACATAGAAAGTGTGCAGCTAGTGTGGACACTGTGTTCAACACCTGCTGATCTTCAAAATCCGTATATATATTACTCAGTGTTCTCTGCTTGAGACTGCTGCATCCCTGCCACAGCTTTGTGGAAGTTGTCCCGTGTTTCTCTGTTGGGTTCAGCTTCAAAGCCTTCCTTACCACCAGCAGCTTATAAAGCTATGGGCCGTAATAAGAAAGACAAAAACATTAACAACCTCAGCAGATCAGACAATGTGGGCAAGAGGCCCACTCTAATGGGCATAAAATTAGGGAAATGAACTGCTCACCCTTAAAGATTCATTCGTGCCAGGGCAGGAGCCTCTCTCAGACTGTTTGTCAGCCACAGGCTGCAGTGTGTAACTCAGCTTAGTGGAGACAGGTCCTCTACGGTTTTGCCCCTTTGTTACGGCAGAGCTACAATCTCCACATCTAGCACTTTCCAGCTTTTCTCCACACAGTGGCCAGAGTATTCACTGCTGTTCTTCTCCAAGCTTAACTCTGCTCCAACCATACTGACCGCCTTACTGCAACAAGCTGCTGCAGGGGTGATTATATTTGCCCTTCTCTCTGCTTATAAAGCTCTTTTCGTAGATATTTCCATGGTGCTCCCTCTCACTCCATTCAGGACACTTCTCCAATGATGTCTCGTTAGATAGACCTTTCCTGATTATGCTGTCTAAAGTAGGAGATTCCTTTCCTTCTCACTCCTCTTCCTACTCTTCTTCTCCCTTATACTCCAAAACTCTTGTTTATTTATTTGTAAAGTGGCAATAATATTGTCTTCATCATAAAGTTATTAAAATAAATATGTGAGATACCTGTAAATTGGCAAATAATAAGCCTATAATAATATGATTTTTAAAGCTAAGTAATAATACCCATAAACTGCTTAAAATATTTTTATTTGATGGTGCTATTGTTTTTAATAGGGCCAACAAATTAAGAAATCCTTTTTAGGGCAGGCAGTTAATTTAAATTTGTTAGAACTAGTCAGGTATAAAGCAAGAGTGGACAAAGGGGGACTGGAGAGTGGATACCCAATGATATAAAAGCATTCACACTCAAAAATTAAAAAAAAATAAAGAAATTACATTGGCCCTACACAACAAATGCGAAGGCTGAATTCTGCCTATAGAACACAAATTTATGACAACTAGCAATGCCATGTTAGAGAAGGGACTTTATCATGAAATTAACACGAGTTGGTTTATATCTTGTATATATCTTATATCTTATCTCTATAAATGACATCTCCTCTTTTTCCTGTGGTTAGAACACAGGTGCCAGGCAGAAAAGCACAGGAACAAATCTGGAGGCTATAATAACATTCCACATAAGGAAGTATGCTAGTGTAGATAGAATAAATTGATAGCAGGGATTAAGAGATGTAAATGAATTTGAGATACATACTCTAGAGGGAGAATATGCACTACTTTTTATATGTCTATATACAGGAATTGGTTGCATTATCCTTAAATAAAAATATTTTTAAAAAGTCAGTGAGCTGTTATGTTTCCTTCCCTCTGACTTCAATTCCTTGATTCTCTCAATATTATTTTTTCTATAAATGTACTGTCTAAATTAGCTAGATCAGTTTATGCTCCTTTGTTGAGAGAAGTTGGCATGCTATCAAGTGGGCTGGGCATCCTGAGCTTCAGTTTCGTTTCTCCGAGTCGTCAAAGCTTCAAGGCTGCTGAATAATTTCCTTCTCCAGTTTTGTGCTTTCCTAGATATCCAGACAGAGCAACTACCCTCAGCTCTAGCTGATACTACCGACACTGCAGCAGGTAAATGTCTTTCTGCTTTTCATTTTTCCTAGCAAGCATTAGTCTCTCTCTCTCTCTCTCAGAAGACAGTGTCATTTGTCAATCTCTGTTTTTTTTTAATTAAAAAATTAGCTAATTTGTGTTTTGCTGTTTATCCTTTGTTTTCTCATTTTTTGGCTGTCTGTTCACCCTTCGTTATGTAGAGTATATAAGAGGCATAAATGCAAGTTTTATAACAGTACATGTTATCTGTTTTTTAATATTTAATGGAAAATATATCTGATTTTCCATTAGGTCAAGCAGTATGGCAGTGACAACACGTTTGACATGGTTGCAAGAAAAGATTCTGCAAAATTATATTGGAGAAAAGCGGCTTAGCCTTCTCTATAAGGCTAGTGTCCATGGATTCTGTAAACAAGCTTTGCTTGATAGATGTTGTAATCAAGGGCCTACTCTAACAGTGATTTATAGTGGAGATCATGTTATTGGAGCTTATTCACAAATGAGTTACCAGCAAGGAAAGTATGCTGCCATCCTCCTTTTCACACTTCAAGGGACTAAAATTTCAAAATGTGAAACAGGACGATGTACACCAGAAATACTGTTTGCTGATGAAAATATACAATGTAATTCCATTGACTTCTGGATAAATGTAAGCTATCAAAAAGTGATTATGAGCTTAAAGAAAATTGAAAATCTTGGACTTGGTCAAAATCGTGCTATGTCTATTCAGGAATGTGAAGTTTTTCGTTGTGAAGGTAGGTTTAATCAGCAAATGCTGTATAAAGTTCTCCCTTGCATGCTTGGTTGGTTTGAACCAATTCATCTCTTTAAGGAAATGTGACCTTTTCATTTGTCCAGAATTTGGATGGTTCAGACTGAAACCTGGACACAAATTGTTTGCTAAGACACAACCATGGTCAATAAAATATATATTTATGATAGGAGCACTTAACATAAGATTTATCCTTAGCAAATTTTTAAGTACAGTAAATCCTCACTTAATGTGGACTATAGGCTCTTGGAAACTGTGACTTAAGTGAAACAACTTAGAAGGAAATCGATTTATTTCCCTCATGATTACGGAAGAAAGACATTTTTCAAGGACATGCTGTATGTTGTTTTGCTTAAAATTACAGTTTCCAAGAATCCATGATGATGTTAAGTAAAGACTTACTGTAGACCAGCAGTGGCTGCCACCTTTTTGGTATCACGGACCAGTTTCGTGGAAGACAATTTTTCCACAGACTGGTGGTGGGAGGATGGTTTCAAGCACATTACATGTATTTTGCACTTTATTGTTATTATGCTGTAATATATAATGAAATAATTATACGACTCATTGTAATGCAGAATCAGTGGGACCCCTGAGCTTGTTTTCCTGCAACTAAACAATCCCAACTTGGGGGTGATGGGAGACAGTGACCGATCATCAAGCATTAGATTCTCATAAGGAGCATGAGCCTAGATCCCTCATGCACAGTTCATAATTGCGTTTGTGCTCCTATGAGAATCTAATTCCACCTCTGATCTGACAGGAAGCAGAGCTCAAACTGTAATATGAGCAATAGGGAGCAGCTGCAAATACAGATGAAGCTTTGCTTGCCTGCCCCTCACCTCCTGCTGTGTGGCCTGGATCCTAACTGGCCACAGACAGCCACAGTTCCATGGCCCCAAGGGTTGGGGACCCCTGCCATACGGTATTGTTACTGTAGGTACTATACTGTACAGTAGATCTCTAAGATTTAATTATCTTGCATAGGTAAAACTTTGTACCCTTTTACAAATGTATCCCCCTTTCCTCCTTCCCACAGTCCCTGGCAAACCACCATTCTAACTCTGCTTTTATAAATTTGACTATCTTAGAGTCCTCATATAAGTGGGATTATGTAGTATTTGTCCTTTTGTATCTGGCTTATGTCACTTAGCATAATATCTTCCAACTTCATTCATATTGTCGTAAATGACAGGATTTTTTTTCATTTATAAGGCAAAGTAACACTCCATTATATGTATATACCACATTTTAAAAGTCCATTTATTTGTTGATGGACTTTTCAGTTGCTTTCATATAGTTTGACACTATATGAAAAGAACATAATTTTTTTTAACTAAAGAATATTTATTTCCAATTTTTGCTGTTGTAAACAATGCTCTTGTAGTATCTTTAAGCATATAACTTTGTCTACAAAAATACTTCTTTACGGTGACTCCTTAGAAATGAAATTGTCACTTAAGGGTTATGATTATTTGGATTTGGAAGGATGCCTTTCAAGAGGTTCAGTTGTCTATACCATCCCTAATCATTATAGAAATGCCTGTTTCCCTGTATCCTTATCTATCTTGGATATCATCAAGTTTTAGAATATTTGCTGATTTGATTGTGAAAAGATAGTTTCTCCTTTTTATTTCCACTTTTCCTTGGTCACTAACAACTTTATGTGTGTTTGTGATTTGCATCTTCTATAAAATACTTGTTTATACCTCATCATTGAAAAGAAGGGCTCCTGTGAATGGCATTACCTGAGTATTTGCATGTTCTAAAGTAATTGTCTGTGATATTCATACTTGGATGACTATAAGAGCACATCATTCTTGTATTACATTTATTTTGGGGGATATTTTAATGTTTCTACAGCATTGATGTTGTTGTGGAAAACCTAAGGCCAGATTATTTATCATTTTTTTTAACTACTATTTGAGTCATTTGATCTTTCTTCTTTGCTGTCCTAAATATTTTTTTAAATAAAATTTTCAAAGCCTGGTAAATTTGCTTGGATAAATCATGATATCGGCTATCCTAGATCAGTTAAGTAAACTTTTTATTGAGATGTAACCATAATCAGTAAAGTACACAATTGATAAGTGTATTCACAATTAGAACGCCCTCATGTAACAACATTCAGAATAAAAAATAGACTACCATCATTTCAGAAGACTCTGTCATGATTCTTTTCATTTATTACCAACCAAACGTAACCATTATTCTATGTCTTGTATCAACATTAATATTTTCTGTTTTTGAATCATATATACATAATTATAAACCTACCAAAGTGTCTAGCTTCTTCCATTCAATATTATATTTATGACATTGAGCTAATACAAGGGATTAGATTTCATTTAAAAATATGACTCCTACAAATCAGATCTCTTACCAAATATTGCTGTATTAGTAATTTCAAAGATAGGGGCAATTATAAATCTAAGAAAAGGCAGAAAGAGTACTTAGATATTCTGTATGGCTCCCTAAATCTTTTCTTTCCATATTCCACATATGCATTAGGGGCCAAAGTAATAGGCACGGCTTTTAAGTAAAGTTTATCGTCCACTTTACATATTGAAAAATTATACACCAGCTTCCATGACATTTTCAAGGAAGCATGCCCCCTTAATCCACGGAATCTGATTTTTTTTTTTTTTTTTGAGAGGGAGTCTTGCTTTGTAGCCCAGGCTGGAGTACAGTGGCACGATCTCGGCTGACTGCAACTTCTGCCTCCTGGGTTCAAACAATTCTACTGCCTCAGCCTCCCAAGTGGCTGGGATTATAGGAATGCACTGCCACACCTGGCTAGTTTTTTGCATTTTAGTATAGATGGGGTTTTACCATACTGGCCAGGCTGGTCTCAAACTCCTGACCTCGTGATCCACCTGCCTCAGCCTCCCAAGGTGCTGGGATTACAGGTGTGAGCCACCGTTCCTGCCTGGAATCTAGATTTATTTACTAAGAAATTCTTAGCCAACAGATATCCTGTTAAGGACAGTCAAGATATGAGTACTGTTCCATGTGGGAAATATCATTAGTCTATTTACCAGGACATAAAATTAGAAAATATTTATTAGAAAATTAGACTCGGTCAATTATCTTTTTTTCTGAGAGTGTTCCCCAGTAAAGTGAGTGAATGTATTGGTCTAGCCGCTTTAATTCCTACCTTCATAGTGATTCATCCTTATTCTTGTATGTAGCAATAGTTTGTTCCTTTTCATTCATGTAGAATTCCATTGTGGTCCATTCTTCACAGTATTTTATCCAATCATCACTGGTGGACATTTGTGTTTTCCAGTTTGTGGCTATTACAAATAATACTGCTATAAATATTATTGTACGTATCTTTTGGTTCACACATATGAATTTTTTTTGAAGAAAATACCAATGAAATTGCTGGATCATAGGCTATGTCTATATTCATCTTCAGTTGACACTGACAAAGTTTCCTAACATAGTTGTATCAATTTCTACAACTATAAGTACTATACAAGGGTGTCTGTCACTTCAAATCATTTTCAGCATTTTGTATGATTTTTAGAATATGTAACTTTTGGTATATGAGTGGTGGTATGACATTTAGCAATTTTGTCTTTCTTTGATAAAATAAGATAAAATTTATTTTACATTTCAAAATAATTACTATATTAATTCATCCTTTCTTCACGTTTTAAAATTTGATTTCATATTTTATTATTTACTTTTATATTCCTAGGGTTTGTTTCTTTATTCTTCTTAAATCTATTTTCAATTTCCAGCATTTTCCTTCTTTCTTGTCATTCATGAAATGGGTTTTATCACAAAATGGATATAAAGGTTCATATTGCTATTTTCTATATTTTTATAATTGTGTTTTTTATTTCCTTTTGGATATTAAAATTATTTAAGAGATTTTTTAAATCCCCAGAGGCTGCTTTTCCATTTGTTTGTACTTGGGATTTGTTAGTCTTATTATAGGCATTGAGTGAAGTTTTCACAATTTCTACTATTGGTAATTTATTGTTTACTTTGTTACCACATGTATGGCCATGTTTAGAAATGTTCCACATGCTATTCTTCTTTTGTAATTGAGAGAATTGCTAGCCTCACTTATCCTTATCCTTTCTGTTTTAAATTCACCATAATAATGTCTCTTTCCAAGAATAAATAATTCTGAGCCTGAGCCTTATTGATCTGAATAAAGTCCTTTGCTTACCCCTGAACGATTTACTGTGCTCTGATTGGGTAGGCATGAGTCTCATTTTCTCTTCCGGGGACAGGAATAAAATTAAGTAAGCTGGAAGTTTCTGGAATTCCAATTGTTAATGTCAAGTTGTAGAGAAAATCTAGTGCCTGTGTTTTCTGTTTGTCTCCGCACATTAACCATCTTAGACCTATTGGATTATGGAGGAGAAAATGCCTTATTAGAGCATTCCCACATCTGTAGGCCTTGCTTCTTTTATTCAGAAAACACCCATACCCTCAATTCCCATGTCGGAGTGAGTCACACATCACTGTTGAGTAACTGAATGAGAAGAGATCTGCTGATAGTACAGTCTTGCAGGGTCTAGTGCCTCAAGCCCTTGCCTCTTCAAATGAGATGATGTTAATGAGATTTAACAGAATTTTCTCTATAAAATTGCTCCCTTTTCACTAGGCAGGACTGTTATCATGGAAAAGCTATTTTAGTATTTGTCCCTAGTGAATTCATTGACATTCATTCAGTCAGCCAATCATTCAACAACTTCTAATCTACATTATTCTTTTATTATTTCCCTAGATTTACTGGATGAAAGAAAGATGAAAGTGGTCACTGAGTAAGTCAATGTCTTTAAGATGCTATTACTCTCTTCACTATCTTTGACTTATTCTATCATAGGTCTCATCAATAAAATTGGCAACACATATTATCACACATAACTTGTGGATCATCAAGAACAAACTGTACCATAATCATAAAATGTCTGATAATATTAATGTTAAAACAAAAACATCACTGAGCAGAGGGGAGGAAGTTTTGATGTTACGTACTTGAATAAAAACAGTTATTTGTTTGTATGTCTGCGTTTTGCTTAGAATTCTTGCAGTTAAAGTTTCAATTGCTCTAGAGAGTTTCTGTGGAAGAAGTGGTTGGTAGGTGGGGAATACCTACCATGAACTTCAAGTATATGATAGAAATTGATTACTTTCATAAACTTCGGAAGTCACATATATCGTGACTTCATCCTTACTATTCTGACTAGCAAATTCGAACTACAAGTGAGTCCATAGCTGAATCATATGCTTACCTAAGGCCTTCAAACACTGCTTCCACTGCTACTTCTAACAAATCACCACCAACCTTGCCTTACCCCCACCATTATTCTAGTAGGGGAACTTTTTGTGACTATGGTTTCATTCTCCTGATCAAACATCACTATTATGCCTATAGGACTTAATATACTAATTACACATTTAAAATCCTAATCACATGTATTGTGACGTCTGAAGTTTAGTCTTAAATATTGATCTTTATGTTTAATATAGCTATTATTTATTCATAGATTTATATGGTCTAGGAACTTAAATCTGAAACATTTTATATCTGGTTTTAGTTGTACATTATTTTGCTTTTTGTTCTTTTTGCAGTAGGATTTGAGGTAAGGTAGTCTCATGTCTTTTACGTAAGAAGGCAAGGTGCTAAACAAAAATGGTATCTATGAAAAAATGAATTCTAGTAAAATTCATTGTAAGGTTTTGTGACCTAAAGTCAGTCAATTGTTAAAAATTGTCATGTCTAAACAGGCTCAGGAAGAGCTTATTGTCTGCCTTGAGAACTTATGAACCATATGGATCCCTGGTTCAAAAAATACGAATTCTGCTGCTGGGTCCAATTGGAGCTGGGAAGTCCAGCTTTTTCAACTCAGTGAGGTCTGTTTTCCAAGGGCATGTAACACATCAGGCTTTTGTGGGCACTAATACAACTGGGACATCTGAGAAGGTAAGTACATTTGAGGCCACCTAACCTTTGCTTGTCTGTTCAAATTATTTATATTTCAAAAGCCTTTTACATACAGATCAACTTTATTACATGTAAACTTCATCTCAATTAACAATAAAACATTATTCTTGGCTGGGCGCGATGGCTAATGCCTGTAATCCCAGCATGTTGGGAGACTGAGGTAGGCAGATCATGAGATCAAGAGTTCAAGACCAGCCTCACCAATATGGTGAAACCCCATCTCTACTAAAAATAAAAAAAAAATTAGCCGGACATGGTGGTGCATCCCAGCTACTCAGGAGGCTGAGGCAAGAGAATCGCTTGAAGCTGGGAGGTGGAGGTTGCAGTGAGCCAAGATCACGCCACTGCACTTCAGCCGTGGTGACATAGAGAGTCTCCATCTCAGAAAAAAAAAAAATTCTTTAAAGTTGTTTTTCTCCCCTCTACAGTATAGGACATACTCTATTAGAAATGGGGAAGATGGCAGTTCCCTGCCATTTATTCTCTGTGACTCACTGGGGCTGGGTGAGAAAGAAGAAGGCTTGTACGTCGATGATATAGTCAGCATCTTAAACGGTCACATTCCTGATAGATACCAGGTAAGATTTGACTAATAAGAAATTATAATTAAAAAAAAATGCTTATGTTTGTACAAATGCATCAGCATTTATCTGCTTAAACTATACTTGCTCAATGTTCTTTGTCTCTTTTTGATTTTTTTTTTCAAAAAAATAAAAACGTCTCAAGGGCTCTTCCATCACGGTTATCGTAACAGCTATGAATGCTGTTTCACCTTCCATTGCTTTCAGCTATGTGAAACAGAAGTCCAACTGCATGAACTTATCTACATAGACAGTTTTTCCTGTGTAACAGGAAGTCTGAAGGCAGACAGCTTGGGAGCACTGTGGCGGCTATCTGAAGTTATTCATTTCAGAGATCCTTCTGACTTTTTGACACCCTCAACATGGGGTATAATGATATGTCTCCCACAAATTTATATGTTGAAGTGCTAATCCTCAATGTGATGATATTTGGAGGGAGGGACTTTGGGAGGTAATTAGGTCATAAAGGTAGAGACCTCATGAATAGTATTAGTGTCCTTACATACAAGAGAGACTTGAGCTCTTTCTGTCATGTGACTGATTAAAGGTGACTGACACAAGAACAGAATATCAAACACCGTATGTTCTTACTCATAGGCGGGTGTTGAACAATGAGAACACATGGACACAGGGAAGGGAGCCTCACACACTGGGGTCTGTCGTGAGGAAATAAGGGAGGGACAGCGAGGGGTGGGGAGTTGGGGAGAGATAGCATGGGGAGAAATGCCAGATATAGGTGATGGGGAGGAAGGCAGCAAATCACACTGCCACGTGTGTACCTATGCAACAATCTTGCATGTTCTTCACATGTACCCCAAAACCTAAAATGCAATAAAAAAATTAAATTAAATTAAATTTAATTTAAAAAGGTGACTCTCTGTAAACCAGGAGGAGGGCACTGACCAGAAACTGAATCTTTTGGCACCTTGATCAAACTGTTAAAAATAAGTGTTTGTTGTTTAAGCCACGTAATCTATGCAATGTGTCCTAGCAGCCCCACCTGACTGTGACACGTGGCTTTCATTTTTATGTGAAAGGACACTGAGCACTGTCATTGTTCCAGGCAAGAGGAAGGAGAGATGAAAGAACCATCTCAGTCTATATATTTTTTAAACTTCTAGTCTTTTAATGAACATTCAGATCTTGAATTAATCATTAAGTTTACTTTGTTCCAAATGGATAGTCAATCATGTCAACAACTTTCAGTGAATACATTTTGTATCTTTCCATTGCGAAATATTGGGGTTAGTCTTTGCATTCTCTAGTTTATTCTATTGATGCAGTGATCTATTATTTCATGATAGCATTTTAATTACCATATTATCTAATTGTTTTAATTACCATATTAATCAATTATGTCTTGATAAGTTACTGGATATTCACATTCATTTTTATTACTCCTATTTCTTTTTGTTAGCAATTTTCATAAACGTACTTTTTCAAGTGAGGTTTTTTGTGCTTTGTTTGATCATTTGTGTTTGATTTCTTGTTGTTTACATTGAAATTATATTACACTTTATACTGAAAATTGATTTACATCTTTACGTATCTAGTGTGCCTATTCAAAAACACAACAAGTTTTGTTTTTCTATTCATGCAAAATTCTTTCATTCTTTAGTATGGAGTTATCTTATAAATGCGTTTTTTAAAAATATTCTTTTTTTAAATAAAACCTTTTTTTTTTATAGAGAATTTTAAAGTAGACAGAATAGTTTAACGGATTTCCACGTACTCAACTTCAAAATTTTTTGATCTAGAGTCAATCTTGTTTTATCCACATCTAGCCACCCACTTTCTCTTCTCTTGTATTAATTTACAGTAAACCAAGAAATTATAAAATTTTATTCAACATTGAATATACATATAAATATATAAATAGGAGCATATATGTTTCTCCTTAAACATAGCCATAATACGATTATCCCACCTAAAATTAAAAATTGTTCAAAAAATTGTCAAATACAACTCAATGTTCAAATTTCTAATTGCTTTATAAATACAAATCTTTAAGTTTGTTTGAAAAAATATCAAATAGATCTATTCAGCCTCTTGGATTTGGTATGTTCCGCCTTTATATCTCTTGCTTTTTTCTTGCCATTTGTTTAGTAAGAAATCTAGTTCTTTTGTAGATGTCTATGTAATCCAAACTCCGTTATTTGCATCCCTCAGGGTAGTTTTACATGGTCCTCTGTTTTCTATATATCCTGAATATTGAGAGTTGAATCTAAAGAGTGTTTCAGCTCAGATGCTACTTTACAGATTGTGTTGTATTCTATGAAAAGGTGCACAATTTGGGGATTTCTCACTTTTCTAATATTGGTATTAATCAATGTTTAATGCCTAGACCCATTTACTTGTTAAGGTATAAAAACAGTGACACTCTGTATTATTTGTTCACCATTTTACATATGAAAGAGAAACTTCCCCTCATCCACTCTTTGATTACCCAGTAGTGCAATTTAAAAAGACCAACCGGATACATGCTTGAATTGTTCTCCTTTTTACAGGATTTTGAAATAATAACATCCCCTTTGCATTTGCCAATAAGGGCAAGCTATTATTTTATTGTTATTAATAAGTCAATATGAATTGAACATATGTTGTGTGTTTCAATCCATTGTAGGTTTTCTCCATACTGATGTCAAATTTACCATCTTGTATCAGTGGGAGCCTCTACAATTTGGATCCTGAATCCTTTTGACATGAACTTAAAAGTCTTTTTTATATTCTTTGATTCTTGCCACAGTTTTACAACAGCTGGTTCTTGAAGTAGTCCTGATTTGGGCATTAGAAATGTTCATAGCTACTTGGTTGGTCATTGTTTCTTGCCTTTTTTAGTGATCAGAGTTATTTAATATACATTTTCATGAGAAAAAATAAATGATAAACTTATACAGAAACTTCTTATTCAAATTCAGCACTAAACACTTTTTGCTTACTCTCTTTTCTATTACCCGTATATCTGCTTCTCCCAAAATGAGAATTTCCATTCTCAAAAACACTGGAGATAACAGAATATCATGTCACAACTCATTTGCTTTATCTTATGTGATATCTACAGTAGTCTCAGTATAAAGGCTCTATCAGTACCATGAACAATTTCATCATAATCATTTAATATCATTTCATATAATCACAATCCAAACTGGAGACAAAACATTTTAGCAGACCTTTATAGTGTATTTAGGTTGTATCATGTATCCTTGTAGGGGTATCCAAATTACTGTACTTTAAAGTCAATCAGAAATAGTTTCTCTGTATAATAACCACAACAGTTCACTAATTCAATTAAATTTATGAATTGGTTTTTAAGTTAATTTGGTTTTCTATTTATGTTTAGCGTTGGTTCAAAGATCAAATATACAAAATAAGGTAGATTCAAATAATCTATCTTCCTTCTCTGCCACTTCAAATAAATTTCTCCCCTCTTCCTATTAGTAACCATATAAAATGTACTTACCTTTTTAAATGTACAACAAAGTACATACAAATTTGTGGCTACTCCATTCTTGGAGAAGTGGTACAAAACTATGTTTTATTGACATATCAGTTCTTTTGGGGGGTGGAGGTGACAGGGGGTGGGGGGAATTTTTCATTGACATGGCATTTTTCTGATACAGATGTTTCAGCAGTTAATAACCTTGTGCATGTGTCATTTTGCATTTTTTATAGTATATCAGTGGGACGGATTCCCAGCAGAGAAAGTGCTAGCTGAAGAGTAAAGTCATCTCATCTTGAACCCCTCCCCTCCTTGCACTCTGCTTGATAGTACCAGCCTTTTTTCTGAGTGCTCTTCCTTCTATCGGTGGGCAGATCGCCTCTTTTATCCAGAACACTTTCAGCCATAACCTTACCCTCTTTAGCAGACCAGCTCCTGCTATTTTAGCTCTCAGATTACATGTCCTTTCCTCACAGAGGCCTTACTTGACTCGGTGAAAGGACTGCTAGCTACTTGCATAATGCCTTTTCTCTCTACCCGGATTGTTAGCCTCACACTATTAGAGACTTTTCTGTTTCGTTTACCATTTGCTTCACTTGCACAGTGCTGGCCATATAATTTGTGCTCATAAATATTTGTTGAATTAAAATGTTGCTCTATGTCTACTTTACAGTTTAATCCCACGAAACCAATCACATCAAGTCATCATAACTACATTGATTCCCCATCGCTGAAGGACAGAATTCATTGTGTGGCATTTGTATTTGATGCCAACTCTATTGAACACTTTTCCTCTAAGATGATAGCAAAGATCAGAAGCATTCGAAGGTTGTTAATAAAGTATGGTGAGTCTCACTCCACTTTGCTACTAAGGGGAATTGACCAGATTGTATTTTAGAATGTCTTTTGGACAGGATAAAGAACTTAAGTAATTGCATATTTCAGCCTTCCCTGACCTACCAGCATGCTTCAATCAAATTGAGCATTCAGTAGCTATATGCCTTTGTGCAAGTAATTAAACTCTCTGGGCCTCAATTTTTTAATCAATCAAGTTAGTATAATAATATTCCCTACCTTAAAGTCTTTTTTGTTAAGAATTTTAAAAAGTTTAATATATATATGAAGGGTAGTACAATCCGAACTACATGCTACCCCTGTATCCTGGCATGCATTTATTGACCAAGATAAGGCCTTGGGCCTTAAAAATTAGAAAGTTTAAAGAAACATTTCAGTAAGGAAAAAAATAGGAAGGTAAGAAGTTTGGTAGGGAGAGATAAAGAGTTGGGAGAAATAACTAGGATCAGAGATTTAGGGTGACCCATTCTGGCTTTTCTTGGTCATATCCATTTTGAGTGGGAAAGAGTCAGTTTATCACTCTTCTTAATTTAGAAGCAGAGAGTGATCAACTTACCTGCTTGCTGAAATTTAAAACTAGGCAAAGGGGAGATGTGCAGAGAGATGATTGCTAGTGTTGTGAAATAAGAGCAGTTTACTTGTGATGCTTTGACACATTCTGTCTCCTTCTTGAGGACTCTTCTCCCCCATCTTGTTCATTAGAGCCCTTTGGTCTTTTTCCTAGTCTCTATCCAAACATTATTTCTGGACAGAATATGAAATCAATCAGCAATATTGTAGTATAAATTTTAGTTACCTCTTCCAAGGGGTGGTTTCATTTGAATCCTCATTTTTTACCATGGAAGACAATGGAGGAAATTTCCCATGTTAGAGAATTTTCAGATACTAATAAGTAGTTCCAAGGAGTTCTTTTGGGGAGTGAAGGTGACAGGGGGTGGGGGGAACTTTCCAAATTTGAAATTGCTCCATAGTTGATAGTTGAGTAACTTGTAGCTCTCTAAAATGATTTAAAAATTTCTGTTTGTCATAGATATGGTACATGTGGCTTTGCTCACTCACTTGGATAACATCGATCTGATTACAAAATCTGACCTTATAGAAATAGACAGATGTGGGCGTGTGAAGTTAAAGGTAATTACTGATTCCCTTTGTAAACACATTTTCAGGGGTATGTTACTACAATCACATATTAGTGTGTAAAAAATAAAAACAAACAGCTACTGGGATTAAGAAGAATTTTAAAATTCTTAAACACCAGTTGGGGGAAGGCAATGATAGCTAATGTTTGTTGAGTACTAAGTATGTGATAGATTTTCTTAATCAGTCCTCATAAAATGCCTATGAAATGTGTACTGTCATTAATACATTTTACATGTGAGGAAACAAAGAAAACAGAATAAATATTTACCAATGTTTATTGACAGTGCCGCGCAGTGACAGATAAATATTTTGAACCTGGGCAGTCTGGTTCTAGAGATTAAATAGTCTAAGCAAGATTTAAACATTAAACTAGTGTAATGAAATCTACTTATCCAGAGAACGTCTTGTAAAAGAAACAGGAGAGTTATGGACTGTAGTGTAGATATCTTTAAAATTTTGTTTCTAAATCATTTAGAATCCACTGCACATATTCCAAAATATAACTGCCAGTAACATTAGAACTTGACATGAAGTTCTTCAAGGTACTTTGTGAGTCCTGATCTCCATTTACCCGGTAGAAAATTATTGGCAAGTTCCTACATTTTGATATTGCTTTCATAATTTATATTGACATAAAAATAATATTTTCAGTTTTTGGCAATGTCTTTTTAATTTCTGTATTGCAGATAGAGGAATTCCAAAGAAAACTTGGATTTGCTCTTCCTGACATCTTGGTGGTTAGCAATTATTCCTCTGAGTGGGAGTTGGATCCTGTAAAGGATGTTCTAATTCTTTCTGCTCTGAGACGAATGCTGTGGGCTGCTGATGACTTCTTAGAGAATTTGCCTCTTGAGCAAACAGGTAGATGTGTCTGGTGGTGTGGAAGCCTGGAAGGGGTCAGGTAGTTGGCCACTTTATGCCTAGATCTATCAGATACCTGGTAGCTGTGCCTTTCTGGGCTGGTGCCCTGTGATCAGTTCTGCTGTTTAATCCACTGCCTGGATGCATTTTTCCCTCCTCACATTTCCCTCTCTTCCTGGAGTATGCCCTAGGGAATCTGCACTACATTTTTTCCCCCTCTGATGAAAGTTTTAAAATACTCCATCTAGTCCTTCCCACTCTCTGAGCATCCCAAGCTGTATCCCTTGCCTCTTTTCTCAGACTATGCTCCTTTTTTTTTCATTTTAGGTTTTGATGTACATGTGAAGAACATGTAAGATTGTTGCATAGGTACACACATGGCAGTGTGGTTTGCTGCCTTCCTTCCCATCACCTATATCTGGCATTTCTCCCTAGAACTGGATTGGATCAGCATTGCTCCTGATCAGATGCCATCTTTGATTATTTGATCCTTCCTTAGGACCTTATGCTTCTGTCTTTCTTTGAGTTGCCTTTTTATTCCTCTCCTTCATCTTAGTTCCTCATCATGCAGTGCACTTATTGCTAGGTAGAGGTATGTTCTTTTATGTTAATGGCCTCATAATATAGTATTACATAAACTTGCTTCTAACAACTTGTGCATAGTACAGGCTGCACTGTTCCATTTAAAGATTAAACAGAGGTTTCAGTTTATTGAACTCAAATCTTATTTTAGTGCTTGGGAAGTCAAATTAGAATATCATATCCTCCCCAGTTCTCTCTTGCTCAAATTGCTGGAAAACTTTCATATGACTAACTTTGTTGCCCTAACTCTGCCTCTCCCTTGGATTCCTCGTCTCTTCTCTTCCTCATGGTACATGCGCTCCTAATATTAGTGTTGGTTTAGATCTTCAGTGACCCAATGTTCCTCTTCCCTCTGGTTGCCTTTCCCCAGATAATCCACTAAGAATATTTTGTTTCTCTTTTCTCAGGGAATCAAAAGAAGGAAATTATCTTAAAGCATGAAAAAGGAAAAAAATAGATATGCAAAAGATTCACATATTAATAAGTTTTACCACATCACAGAAGAGTAAAACTCAGAAAGGAGAAAGCACAGGCCAAAGAGAAGTAACTAAGACTGAAGAGATGTTTTATTTACATATAGGATGAAGAAACAGAACATCGTAGTACTTGTAAATGACTAGAAATAGTGTGATTTAAAATCATAATTGTGAAAAACAGTAATTTTTCTTGGATTTATATTCTGTATCTGTGAAAAAATTAATTTCTTATAAAACTTGGGTCTAATTTGATAATGTGTGTGAGTGTGTGTGATTTTGGAAAAAAGTTCATTTGTCAGGATTTTCTGATATTCACTGCTTTCGCCTTAATTTTGTCGTCTGATTTTATTTCTAAAGCATGTGATTTTAGTCTGTATGAGTCCCTTCTTAATGTTGTATTTTTTAACCTAAAGCCATTTTTGCTTAATATTTGAAACTTACTGAATGCAGTAATTAATATTAATAAGAATTCCATAAGACTAAAACTGAAAGAGACTATAGCTTGATTACTTTGTAGTTGTTACTATTTTAGTTACTAGTGACAACACTCAACCTGAATTATATGAGTAAAAAGGAGGAGTGTAGTGTTGGAGCAAGTAATCAAACCAGAGAAAGGGCATAGAACTGGCTTCAGAAATAATTGAATCTGGGGATTCAAAAACGGTTGACAATTTCTCTCTCTCTAGCTGTCTCTCTGTTTTTGTCTCTGTTTCTCTCACTCTCCCTCTTTCTCTCTCTCTGTCACACACACACACTCTCACCGCTTCATTACTTATTTTACGTGTTGCTATCATTCTCTCAGGTTAGCATCCTTGATAATCTTAAGCTATCTGAATTCAAGTCTTATAAATAAGTCTAAAATTATTAGCAATTACTTTTAAAAAGTTTTTTATTAAAATATAGTATAAACATGAAAGGTGCAAGATTCATGTATATGGCTCAATGCATTTTTACAAACTTAACAAACCCGAGAAACTAGCACTCAGATAAGAAACAAAACTTCAGCAGCAGGCATCTCTGAAGTCTCCTTTATGCCCCAGTCTAGTTATTAGCCAGGGTATCTACTATTCTGAGGGGCATTATGCCTGATGGAAGCTTAATCTCTTTCACCCCGCTGATGGTAAACCTTGGTTGAAGGCTAAAGTCCACAAAATGGGCAAAATTGAAGGCAATACACCTGAGAGTACAGGACAATTTTGACTCATCTGAGGTAATGCATGCTATTTTGATTTACGCTGTGGTTAATGACATTGCATTTAGTACATAGGGGAGCCACATGACCAGTCAAGTAAGCATACACTGTGAGGAGAATTAAATTGTGGAAATCTGTGGTAATTCTGTGGAAGAATTCAAATGGATCATGCCAATGGCCACCAGATAAAGCCTAGTTGCTGGCTCATAAGGGATTAGAATACAAAGGCTGGTATACTGTTCCATTCCTTGGATTTATCTATTTGGGTACATGAAATAAGCAGGGATATTGTTGTGCAAGCCATAAACATTGGGTAGAATCATGACATACTCCTTTATGGAAACTACTAATGTAGTAACACGTTATTCAGAATGTTAATAGAGAATTTCTAAGAGATGACTTTTGGTAAGATTCTTTGAAAGCAAAGAACCACGGGTAGACTATGTAGAAACCTTACTAATAGCCCCAGGTGGCTTCAACTGGATTCTGACTAGAATACATAAATGTTGGGCTTTGAGTTTGCTTATCCTTGGGGTGTAGCAATCTCTTAGGACAGTGGTCCCCCACATTTTTGGCGCCAGGGACTGCTTCCATGGAAGACAATTTTTCCACAGACCAGTGGGGGGTCAGATGGTTTGGCGATGATTCAAGCACATTACATTTATTGTGCACTTTATTGCTATTATTATATTATACTATATAATGAAATACTTCTATAACTCACAATACTGTAGAATCAGTGGGAGTCCTGAGCTTGTTTTGTTGCAATTAGACAATCCCATCTTGGGGTGACGGGAGACAGTGACAGATCATTAGACATTGGATTCTCCTAAGGAGAGCACAATCTAGATCCCCTACATGCTCAGTTCACAATAGGGTTCATGCTCCTATGAGAATCTAGTGTCACCACTGATCTGACAGGAAGTAGAGCTTAGGCAGTCATGTGAGCAATGGGGAGCAGCTGTAAATACAGATGAAGCTCCCCTCGCTCACCAGCTGCTCACCTCCTGCTGTGTGATCTGGTCCCTAGCAGGCCACAAATTCATTCTGGTCTGTGGCTTGGGGGATGGGGATCCCTGGCTTAGGACACTATTATAGATGTGGAACAACAGAATGTGAATAAACTCAGTTTCCTAAGGTTATATTTCATCAAATCAAAGTCTACATATCATGATGCCTATATACAAAACTGAGCTAAGAGACCCAGCATTATATGGACTTATCAGATTCTGCATCATCAATTTAGTAACAGTTTCATCAAGAATTGAAATGGGTCATTCTGTCCTTTTCCAGTGTTGAAGATGGCTAAGCAAGGATGTAGTGGGTCCTCCAGTATGAAATACTGGAATTCCCTGGGTCTGCCGATAGGAGCCATGATCAACTGTGCTGACAACAACAGAGCCAAAAATCTCTATATCATCTCTGTGAAGGGAATCAAAGGGCAGCTGAACAGACTTTCCACTGCTGGTGTGGGTGACATGGTGATGATCACAGTCAAGAAAGGCAGACAACCAGAGCTCAGAAAGGAGGCATATCCAGCAGTAGTAGTTCAGCAAAAAAAGTCATACCAAAGAAAGAATGGTATGTTTCTTTATTTTGAAGATAATACAGGGGTCATAGAAAACAATGAAGGCAAGATGGAAGGTCCTGCCATCATAGGACCAGTTGCAAAGGAGTGTGCAGACTTGTGGCCCAGGATTGTGTTAAATGCTGACAGCATCACATGTTTCTCCAGTGTATTTGTGCAAAAAAAAGCCAACGAACTACTTAAAAATATTTGCTCTTCCCGCTCCCAAAAATCTAATTGGAATGGGCAATTAAAATATCTGTTAATAAAAACTGGTGATGATGAGGACATGAAGGACTAGCTGGTTGGATTGGGTGAATTTAAAGTAGAAAAACCATTGGGAAGGATTTTTGCTACATGGTTGTAGGGATAAAGAGAAGACTGATGATGCACTTACAGAGCTTTATCTTTCCAACAAAAATTTTCTTTTATCTTGCCCTATCTAGTTGTATCAGGTTTGGGCTACACATAGCCTACCCCAGCATAGGGAGGTATCACCACTCAGGATGCTGTTTCAATGCCTGTGAATTTGATTTGCATACTGGTAAGGAAACAATGGACTGGATAGTGACTCCATCTCATGTATAAACTAGTACTGGCTGTAAGTGCTGCTCCACTGCCTACAAGTGGTGTGGTCCCATCACTACTTATATTTACATTTCTTCTTTGTGGGGAAGGCCTGGCAGGGTTATTCCAGCTATTTGCCCCATGTAGATAAGCAGTAGAGACATGCCCAAGGAATAAAAGCCAGCAATAAAGAGATAACAGATAGAAAGCAAAATAATCATGGCAGATGAGAAGGGCATAGATAAAATGTGTAATGATGCTGGGAATGGACACATCACTTTTTTCCTGAGAGAAGGTCTCAGAACAAGAGAAAAATACTCCTAACTGTTTCTCTATCCTGTAGCGCCGAGTAATTAACGGCTCAGAAAGAAGATCCTAAAATTTTTCTCCAACTAGAAAGGAGAATGGCACTGAAGCCAAGAACTCTGTTTAGGTTATTTACTGAAAAAACATCAATTACCCTTGATGACTTACCTCAATCTTAACTGGTGGAAATGCTCATTTGAATTTCATTTTGTTGGCTACATTTATCTTATTGGTTCTGTTGTAGCCTGGAGGAAAATCTTACCCTTGAGCTGATCTGGATGTATTGTGACTCTCAGCTGGGGATGGCTATGAAGAAAAACATGCCAACACTGCATTTCTAATAGGTTGGAATCCCCTTTGCTCTTTTGAATAAATCACATGTGCATGTGGAAGAAATAATATTAAACAAATAGGACACTTAGGACATTGGAATGAGGTCCAAGAGAGTGAACTATGGCCTGACATGATGATCAAATATCATTATGGATTTGCCTTTGAGAACTTAAAGTACAACAACAAAAAACAGAGCGAGATAAGGAATGCATAGTGCTTGACACAATGCAGGGCACGTGGTTATCGAGGCTCAATAAAATTGCATTATTGGCATTACCTGGACGAAACTGATTATAAGAAGCATAAGACTGACCAAAATCAACTGCGTCCAGGAGTCATCATGCTCAACTGAAAATCTTCTGAAGGATCAGTATTTTGGGTGCCAATCATACACTTAAATAGCACTCACGGCATAAACAGTTAGCAGCAACTATACTTATGGTATTAACTAAAATCAGCTCCAACATACCAACAGGGATTTGGGAGCCTTTGGAATTAAATTTGATGTGGTAATCAAGTGTAGATGGCTTTTCCGGAGGCTTATTATTATGAGAAGGAATTTTAACTCAGGGACACTAGAAGGAGATCTTTCTCAGAAACCTTGCCTGTGTGAGGTAGGCCAGCTAGGAAGGCAGTAAAGCTATTTGAAATTTCAAAAGAAAGAAAAAAAGGAAGAAGAAATAAGGGAGGAAAAGAAGAAAGAAAGGAAAAGAGGAAGGAAGGAATTAAAGCAGGCAGGAAGGAAGGAAGGGAGGGAGAGAGAGAAACTGGGGCTAGGTAAACTAGAGGCTTAGGCTGTGGAAACACTAATGCCAGCCTCCCATGGCAAGCTATTACTGAGGATGCAGTCTTTACTGCTAATTTCTCATAACCCGAGTACCCAACTTTAAAAGACAGCCATGCTCCTTGTGGTGAAATCGGTTGAGATTGGACAGATTAAGGATCAACACCATTTCCTCTTTATGGGAAACAGATGCTACTTAAAAGCCTTTATCAGTAAAAACTTGCTCTGTAATGGCTGGCATATGCTTTTCTCTCAGACCAGATGGTACTTAGAATTCACTGGGCAGCGGCCTCTGGGAACTACCCCAGTTACAGGAAAATATATAGCATGCAGAAAATGGAATATTTACTGGGATGGATAGTAAAATGACACAGTAGTAGTATGGATGTGTAGCGTGCTCAGCATTATTTAAATTTCCTACCATAATTGTTTGGTGCAATAAAGGAAATATAGACTCATTTATAGATGTAATTGAAAATAAAACTTTCATAGAGAGTG